TAATAACCGTTATAATAAAAATTAAAAATTAACTAATTAGTAAATACACAATTTTTTAATAAGGAAGTTCCATAAACGGAATACACTGTATTTTTTTCAAAAATGCATGAAAAGGGATTGTATTATGGGGCAATAGCTGACGTCATAAAAGACGACAACATTCGGCTGTTTTCGGGATTCCATGAACAAGTGTGATCGAAGTGATTGTGAACCACGCGTAATCCGTGCGGAACTCTTGTGAACTAGTACCATTCGATCTTTGTGCAAGAGATGATTTATGTTGTTGATGTAAATCTAATGATTTCTGTGGGATCTTGTTATTTAGTGAGTATCACTAGCGGATACAGAATTTAATTTTGAGGGGGACTTCCGCTCGAAATTTTTTTTTTTTTCATATATATCTAACAGTAATTAATTTGAAAAAAAAAATAGAAAGAAATTAATTACCTATATGAAATGGTGTTTAAGTGGTTCTTGAAACCCTTTTAAATGTAATTACACGAATAAGAATATTTTAAGAGATAGTTTTTAATATTTTTTTCTGTAAAATATGGTTATATTGTACCGTGTTGGGGAGGGGGAGGACGGGGGCTTCAGCCTGAAATTATTGTTTACTCAATAGAAAATCCAACATAATCAAGACACATATGTAACCAACCATTTTATGTAGAAAACGAGAAATTCTTCAGATGAATATCGTATACTATTTCCCTTCTTAAGAAGATACTTCTTAACAAACGACTCATACTACTCCGTTTTTACCTTTTCTTCAGGACAAGAAAGGCTACATCAAAATAAAACCAACGGCTTGATTGTATGTGTAAAAACAAAGAAGGGTGTATTATTTAATTTAAACGACAGTCTAGGTATCTAAAGACTTTGTTCAGTCCTATGAATAAAGCATGAACCTATACCACTACAACCATTAAGGATCTGGGGTTCAGTACTATTTACTATACCCTAAATAGTACTAGGTCAACGGTTGTGCAAGGAGGTGATTTGACCGAGATCATGCTCAACCGCCAGGTTTACTTTTTACAGTACTACTGACTAAAATATTTACAACTTATGAAAATACAATTAAAATTAATATTTCCACATATACTTTTTATTTATTATATACTTATTGATTATTATTTAGTTGATATTTTGCTTCTGGTTTCTGTATAGGTATATGGTGTGAATGTGTTCATATCTCACTATAATTATTACCAGTGTGACAGATAGTTATATTACTGAATAAATAAATAATAATAAAAATATATATTTCTACAAATGTAGTACTACAAAAATATTAAACAAAAGCAAGTAACAGAAACAATAGAAGATAATATCAATATAAGAATGGTATGGAAATCATAATAAAGTATAATAGAGTTAACATAGAACTAAACTAAATATGTGAAAAATTTTATTCATGAATACTGGTGAGAAATATTTAAATAAAAAAATTAAAGATATATGGTTCCAGTTATCGATATATTCAGCCAACTATCGATAAATCATAAAACATTGAACTACATATGATGAGATTTCTTTTTAAATAATCCATTTCAAAAAATTACAGGAGACAACAAAAATATATCATTGTGCCTATTTGACCTGCGTAAAGAGATGATTTTAAACCATTTTTTGTATTGGATTGAGACACTAGCGGATCCAGGATTTAATTTTGGTGGGGGCTTCAGCCCGAAAGATTTTTTTTTTTCATATACATATAACGATAATTAATTTGAAAAAAAGAGAAAGAGATTAATTACCTATATGAAATGGTGTTTAAATGGTTTTTGAAGTCTTATTAAATATAATTACACTAACAAAAATACTTTAAGAGATAGTTTTTAATATTTTTTTCTGTGAAACATGGTTATATTTTACTATTTTTTTTTTTTTTTTTTGGGGAGGGGAGGCTTCAGCCCGAAAGCCTCTCCGTAAATCCGCCTGTGGATTGAGACACTTGTGATCAATACGGCTTAAGTTGATTGAGAAATTGTGAAAAATAAAACAAAAATGTTTTATGAAATAAGTGAATTGTGACGATTTTAAAACCATGCAATTTCTTCATTTGTATATTTAATGAAAATTACATAATAAATCATCATAAATATATTAGAAATGATATTAGTACTAATTTCCTTTCACTACTCCAATATGGCGCCCGGTTTCAACATCATCCAGACCACATTATTCCCAGCTGATGAATATTGAAAGTAGCCGAGTATTGACAATCTACTTACATCCCACAGCTCCTTGATTTGAACGCGTGATTTAAGTTAGGTTAGATTAAATTGATGCCTTTCTAATACCTAAATATATAAAATAATATAATCCATAGTAGGAAAATATAATTTGTTTGTAAGTTCACCAAGCACATTTTTGATAACGCTATACTTTTAAGAACGTTTTGTGGATTTCGACCAACTTTATCGATAAAAACACACTAAGTGCACTAACATTACAAAAACCCTTTATAAATCAATCATAATTACAAGCACACAATTTTCTAATCCCATAAAGGGAACTTAATCAAAACTCTTAGTAATTAAGGATATGAAAAATGTCACTTAATGACTTTTTCGATGAACCGATATCTCCTACTAAAAAATTAGTTATTAGAGCTCGCTTGGCTTAAACACATAACACTAAAATACAAAAGTATAATTAAATTAAAATTCGCACCACTCATAATAAAATATGTATAGAAAAAATTCACACAATGAAATAGCATGATACAGAGAAAATTTTTATTGCTGCGAAAATTCATAACATCGTAATTATTAATCTGTAGTTAATAATCCGATCAAGTGATTATCAGATCGAAATCCTACAAATTATATTTATTTCAACAATTATTATCGATTTTTGTTATTGAATAAAAATGCCTAGTAATTTTCAATCAAGCTCAATAGGGATCGATAAGTTCCGTCTTCCTTCGGACACATTCGGGAATCTAGGAGTGGAGTGCTCTGAGTGATCTTGAAACCGTCTACCATCTTGGAGTAGCGAAATGAAACTAGTGCAATTATACTTATAAAACATTTCTAGCAAAGAATTATAAGTATTTTGAAAATTGTATTTATGAATATGAAATCATTTTAAAACAATTAGAACAACCAATAATAAAAACTATCATTTTACATTGAAAGCTGTTGAGAAAGAACATAAACGATTCTATTTGTAGATAATTTGATTTTAAAAAATTTAAAACAACATTAGCCTGATTGCTTATGTTTATTGTTTTTGTTATAAGATAGTATTTTCAGTTCGTCTTATTTAGTTTTATTCAAATACAAAAATGAAATCTGAATACAAAATTAAATACTAAATTTTACGTGTCTTGAGAAAACCATTTGTGTCATATGTGCGTACATTATTCTATATTAATAATTATTGTAACTTGTTAAAAGTTATTATACTTATAAATCCTTATAGTAATTTGAAATAAACTAGAGTACTTACCAAAAATATCAAACTTCATCGGCCACAATGTACTACTGTTCAGGGTTGCCACTACTTTTTCATTGAAATGCCAACTGTTAGAATTGATATTATATTTAATCAAGGCAGATTATCTTTTTTGATTTTAAAGCTTGTATTTATTATCATGGGTAATAAATTTGCATGTTTACTGAACTTGAATTCAAATAAACATTAGCTGAATATGATTTCTGTTACAATACTTTATTACCCTCTTTAAGAATAATTAACATTAAAAGCGGCAAATCAACTACAGTTAATTCTTAGTAAGATAGCTAGGTAGCAGCACTTGCCAGGCTTATAAAGCTGGTCATTCGAATTTTCTGACACCCCCCTTCCTCAAATAAAAAAGTTACATTGTTAAATCTTATGTCAAAATATTTATTAATAACTATTATGAAAACGTTTAACATTTATTTCAATACTTCCAGCTTTGAGCCAAATGGAACTAACCGTTTTTTTAAATACTGTGTTTCTAAGAAAATACATTAGCACATATATACCTATACAAAAATAGTTGAGATGAAAACTATTTGGAACCAGAGGTGCCCATCCCTCTCCCAAGATAGATGGCACATTCTCTTCTTATAAATAGTGCAAGTGCAAGCGCAAGTAGAATTAAAAAAATTATAGATCATATACAATTACACTATTTGAGACATGTTTCCCCTTGTCCACTGGTTTGAAACTTTTTATTTTCAAATTTCAAAATCCAGTCGAAAAGTGCTCCTAAAAAATTCAAAACCCTGTCAAAACGTGCCTCCCTCAAAATTTTTTATCTCCACAATTTGTGCCATGAAACCCCCTGGTGGGCAACCCTTTTTGGAACCATGCACAATCCCCCATATTTCAGAAAAATCAGATAAATGATAGTAAATGTTGTCTTCCCAATAAACCTGAGAACAGACGCTCAACAAAATGTGCTCCTATGTGTACAAAACGTAAATCATAAGTTAAAATTTTCGATTGTGAGCACAAATGTTTTTTTTATAACCTTCAGCATAAATACTAAAATTCCTTACCTTGGATAGTTAGGAAGTAAAACATTATTTGGGTACCTCTTTTTTTAAAATTTCATTATTTTCTTTTTGATGGCCATAAAGTTTAGGGAAACTCCCTGAGTTCAATGAAAATCCCTTAATTTTCAGTTGGCTGACAAACTGCTTAAGTAAAAATTTTCAAAAACTTATTATTATTTGGTTTTTAATTAAATTTTTATTTTAATATAAAACTGACATATGAACAATACGGCAAATTGCGAACAGATTATTATTTTGATATTTATCTAATAGTTTTATTTATTTAAATGTACTGGGTAATTTTATTTTTATAATTTTCATTCACATTTTAATATTTTTTTTCCTGATGTTGGGTTAGCCATAGTTTTCAATTTCTAATTAAAAGTATTTTAACTCTTAATACTACTCTAACAAATGTTTTTTTTTATTAATATTTTAAACTCAAAGAAGTTCAATTATTTCTACTTCATTATTAAATTATAATAACAGCAATAATACACCTTCTATTTCTCTATTTATTTATTTCATCATTTCCGCTTCAATTTCTGTTGTATACATTTATTTTATCATATAATTATTTTGTTAGATCAATTTACTTCCATGGTTACTTTATTTGATATTTTATACAGACATTCAAGAATATTGTAGGCCCAACACTCCTATCTACACTACCATGAGAATCTTTTGTTCCAAATCACAAGTTTTAACTATCTTCACACTGTCAGATTTTATACAATAGGGTTTTTCCGTTCCAGGAACTTATGGGATACATGTTTTGAAATGAGAAAACTGTACTGCACAAGCAGCTGGAATTTCACTGATAGTACTCATGTTGCAACGAATCTATTAAAAACATATTTATATAGCAAAAGTAAATTACAAATAAACAGAATGTTGGCAATTTGACAAATAATCTAATATAGATTACGAGAATAAAAAAATAGGCAAGTTTTTTAGCCAAAATATATAACCTATAATATTAATTAACTTCATTGAAAGTAATGAAAACATACATTTTTAATATAACATTTGTACTTAAAATATATTGATCAAGATGTTCTCATCGGCTAAAGGGTTTAAATATAACAACACTGAATGTGTTGGACTCTAATGATTCTACTGTTTTTATTTTTACTCATAACTGAGTTGATAAAAGGTACTCACTGTCGATAAACAGACACATTATAAATACAGTTGATTCGGCTTAAAATTCTGGAGAAATTAAAAAAATATTACTTACTCAACTTTATCCACCATGACCCTTAAAAGACTTCTTATTGTAAAAAAACATCTACATTAAACATTAAAAAGGTAGGTAAAAAGAAAAACAACTCAAATGCTATAAAATTTTATAAATCAAAATAAAGAAAATCACATTTTGATCAACAAAATTAGACCTTTTACATAGAATTTAAAAATATGAAGATTCAATCTTATAATTTAAATACTACATATTCATATCACAATTAGAGAAAATTAATAGCATGCCAATTGTATTGTGTTTGAAAGAAAAGTTTAGATAAGTAATAATAACACAATAGTTGAAATTAAATGCAAATTAGGAAAAAAACATTTAATCAGTATTTAAAATAATCAAAGATGTCAAAATAAATATTTGTACATCACATATTTTTGTCAATGTCTTCAATTTTTTAAAATAAAATTTAATTCTTTTACAATGTATTTCTCATTAAAAATAATTTTTTTCTCAAAAACCAAGCTAGAAATAAAAATGTAATTATTATATTTAAAAAAGTATTTGTATAGGCAAACATTGACATTTCATTAAAAGTAATACACTAGCCAAATTAACCCCATGACTGGTTGTGGATTACTAGGTTCAAAACGTAACTGATATAGTTTCACATATCTGATGGAGCAAAACATCACATTTTTTAAGATTTCAGTGAACCCACAATGGCTCTTAAACAAGCAAGTTAAGTTTGGTCTTTGAACACTTCATTGTTTCTAGAAGATAGGTAAAGAGGTTAATCGGACTAATACCATTCTTCAATATATAATAAAAAAGTTCAAAACTGGATTCAGAAATTATATAAAAAGCTCAAAGCATCCTAAAATGTTAAAAAATAAAAGAAATAAAAAATATTGAGTGAATAGCTGCAAAAATCTAAATATTAGGACTGTGATATTAACAGAACATTTATCAACAATGATGGGCAAATATCTTACATCCTAAACAATATGAAATGTGCCTTGTGAGATAGGCTACAACAAAAGATCACCAAGGAAGAAGCCATATATCACTGAGAGAAACACACTCAAAGTTTATAAAAGAACATGCTGAAGTCATTGGATTTTTGAAAAATATATTGTTCTCAGGTGAGAGCAAATTTAACATTTTTGGATCTCAAGGCCAGAAATATATGAGACAGAAACCCAAAGCGGCAATGGATCCAAAGAATATGTTAAGCACAGAAGCAGGTCTGTCAAGAGCTGAGCTGGGGAAGGAGAACGTCCATAAATGATGGTATTACGATAGCAGACAGGTACAAGAACATAACCTGTTGTAATTGGAAAAAACATATTCAAAAACTCTGAATTGAACAATGTTATTCATTTCTGCAAGAAATCCTAAACACGAAACAAAAATAAAAAAGACACGAGAGTGGTTATTGCACAACCCCCATAGGTTATTCTTTATCCTTACTAAGTTAAATGACCTAAATACAATAAAAAATTAATGTTTTTTTTTTTAGCAAAAGGAACGACTTATAAATGTTTTAAGTATCTAACCGATAGTAATAATTAGAGAAGTTGCAGACAGCATAGTGGAAAATTTAACAGATGTGAAGTCAGGCCTTTAAATGATAATCTCTCCTGCTAAGAGATATACAAAATATTTACTTATTAGTTACTCAGAAATGATGTACAATAGTGAAATAATGTTTACGTGTACAACACTGAAGAACTAGTTTTTATAATATAATAATCATATTTTACTTTCATTCATCATGTATTTTGATTCATAGTGTGATTGTTTCTCGAAAATATCTGCTTTTCAATGAGAGAAACATTATCAAATAATGCTTGACAAAAATAAAGATAAAGTATGCTTAAATATATGAAGTACAAATATTTTTTTTTTACTACTGTATATTGAAACAGATTAAAAAAATTATCATTTTGAAATCGTTTAGAAAGCAACTAGGTAAATAAGTGACAAGAGTTGTAAAATAAACTAATCCTATAATAATAAATAAAGCCAAATAAATAATAATTAAATTAGTTAATCAATAACGAACTATTAATATATTATTAACATATAACACAAGTTATCAGATAAACAGAATAACAACAAACATATAAGTAGAGAACTGCATAATAACATAAATAAAGTCCATATTACATTAAATATTTTTAAAGGAAAGAGATGGTCCAGGGTTGCGGTCATAAATAGGCTAAATAGTGTTAACACTATTTAGCCTATTTATGACCGCAACCCCGGACCATCTCCTTCCTTTATAATGCAACGGTCAACTATTAAATATTAAATATTTTTAAAACTGTCGAGATTATCCTAATTATTGATTTATTTCAAAAAGACCAAACCGCAACCAGCAGTTGAAATCAGTGCAATATAGATTTATAAATATATATCAATCAACAAGTAATCACAACCTTTTCATGCCTTAGATTTAAAATTTGAAAGTTAAGAAGAAATTTCAAGCTCTAGACGGATAAATATAAATACAAATATATCATCTCCTAAAAAGTACGAACTTCAGATAGGCAGTGTTTTCGATTATTTACAAAATGATACAAACCACTTCTAATTATATACCCTTTCTTAAAATCATTACATGATATGATGACATAAAGTAGCAGTCAAAAAATAATTTCATCTATTAAGAGATAATAAATTACTACCTTATCATAAAAAGAAAAATACTGACTTCAAAAAAAGTTAAAAGAAATTGTAGCAAAGGCTAGATCATACCTAGGCGATTAAACTAACACCTATGAATTAATAAGTTGAGACCAATGAAGTATAGTATTTTACATCTTGTAGGACGAGGCGTGGTAAGGAGTCGGTCTGACCACTCTTGCAGGTCGAGGAAACCATTGCAATGAGTCCCACAGCTGGCATAACGCTTCTCCCACGGATGGTTCGATTTCCTAAAAAAGAAAAAATTAAGGGCCAGTTAAAAAAATATATATATCTTTCCATGTTATTAAATAGTTCAATACTAATGTAGCAAATGAATACTAGAAAACCAGTAATTTTGAGAAAAATATTATTAAAAAGGAAGGAGATGGTCCGGGGTGGCGGTCATAAATAGGCTGAATAGTAGCAAAACTATTTTATTAAAAGCCAATGTTTCGACCCGACTTTGCAGGTCTTCTTCAGGGAGGTGTGTTCAGCTAGGAGATTCACCTAGAACTGGTTGTGCCACTATTCATTCAGCCTATTTATAAGCGCCACAACAGACCATCTCCTTCCTTCATAATGCAACGGTCAACTATTAAATATTCAAAAATATTATTAATTTCATATTATAAACATATTCCAAAATGATACAGATTTCTATAAATCTGTTGTGATTTTGCAGGTACAAAATTTTCTTTTTATGATTAATAATCTTAATATGTTGAATTTAATATGTTATAAAAGTTTTATAAGTTCAAAAATAGCGAAAAATATAGAGGGAAATAAAAAAATCTAGAATCGCCACTGTTTTTAAACTGTTTTGACCAATGAGATTTGAAAGAATGGCCTCGCATAGCCTATAAGCTATAAAAACTTATAAAAAATTGTAATCAAGTTAATGGGATTGGTCAGCTTAGTTCGTCAGTGAATCAGTGATTGTGAGTGAAAATTGAAGTTAAGTTGCTTTGTCAAGAATCAGTTATCTTTGTATTTATTAAATACAAGGCCTCTGGTAAGGATTATATATTGAAATAATAATTTATCATCCATAAATTGCTAAATTTAATAGTCGTTATTGGTAACATGGTAAGTTAAACTGCCTTAAAGACATAAAATTACTGGTTGTGGCGATCTAAACAAGAACTGAATGAAATAAGTAATATTATTATAATGTATATATGTAATGCTATAAAGTTTCAATAATAATAATAAAGTTTCAATGTATAAAATTATACCAATCTACTCTTGGTTTTGTATTCCATGATGGTATGAACACCTCTGAGTTATATCATCTTAACCTACATCTTCCTGTCGTCTCTTTTAAGTGAACTACTGTTCACTCAGCATACCTCTTCTACCATTTTTGTTGTACTTAATCTCTGTTAAATTAATTATTCCTTGATCTCTCTTTCATAACAGATCTGAGTGCTCTTCCTTATGTTAATTTTCCTGCATTACAGTTAGAAGGGTCATTCCCTCGTTGATATATCAGTCCTCCACAAAACCTGGAGAATCATTTCTCCGATTGTGATAATTGTTGCACCAGATTTAACATTCATTCCTTAGTTGCTAGATCAAAAACGATTTAGAATCTTATCCTTCCAACACTATCTCTCATTCTTTCTAGACCTCTCCTCATTATATCAAGACCTATTAGTGAACAAGCTCTGTCGAGACCTACTGGTGTCTCTCTCACATACAAGCTCAACACTACACTGCGCGCTGTTACAAACCTAATACAACACAATATTAATGTACACACAGTTGTAACATAGAGGCTTTTAACCAATTCACCACATAAAAAAACCAACCATTTGGCCAATGAAGAATATAATTTCTTTTTATTAATTTCAGTAGATATTACTGAGAGAAGAAGACAAACATTGTTTTCTTTGTGCAGACATTGATTAATTTCTTTCAACTTTCAGATTACGAATCCAAATCATATAAAATAAAAGGAAACATTCCAAATGTAGAAATCCTAGTAAATCTACATTCATTATGATCATTGAATTAATGAATATAGTAATAGATGAGCACTAACCTGTCCGTCCCTCGATGTCTGTACCTTGGCGTAATCATTATAAGGATTAAATAAATGACGGGTGGCATGGTAGGGAATGTTGCCTCGCTTGATCCACTCGACTGGTAAAGGTGCAGAAAGTGAATGATTACCGGAAAGATCGAGAGGTATCTCTCCGGTGACTGGATTTTCTCCAGCGAGGTGAGCATATCCTTGAAAATGGCCTGACCCCTGTATGCTGAACACCAAGATCACCGATTTTCCTGCCTGTAAAGTGATAATGAAAACAAAAATTTTATTTTTATTTCATAATTCTATTTTTCTCATAACTAAAATTGAGGAATTGATGGAAAATAATAAGAAAATAAAGTTCAGATATATTTATTAAACAAATACCTTCAAAGCTTGAACAAGCCTACTCTGTGTCGTAGGAAGAAATGCCCACATTTTATGAACCACTGAAATGTCAATATTTTTCAACTGACCAGCTTTGATGACAAAATACCTGAAGGGCGATGCACCTGCAACAGAACGGTAATCAATTAACCAAAATATAAATTAAAAATATGATTATTTAAAATTTTTTCTCCTCAAATATTTGAGACTTACAGTTGGCTCTCTGGGCTTCTATTCCTCCGCTGCTGAACGCAGTCTGGGTTGGTGAAGTCTCCTCAAAACTTTTATTTGTACCATTATTGAACCTCTCTGAAAAATATTTGTTCTTTTAGATTATATATTCAGCATAATTAATATTGTAAATATAATATATTATTAAATCCAAGCATTTAATAATTTACATTAATTTAAATTGTGTTCATAAATAACAAACCAAAATTTGATTTTGAAGGAGAAGCTGTTCCTTGATTTCTTCTATCGTTGTGAGAATCATTGAGTCCATCGGAATAATCCAGAGTTCTGTTTCCAACTGAAAATTAAACATAATAATTTTCATTTATTAACACAATAATATTTATTATAGTGGTTAAATAGTTGACTGTCGTAAATAATAGAGAGAAGAATAGTTGGGGTGATCAGTCAAATAAGAAGGCAAAAATAAATGATACTATTTATTTTTGCCTTCTTATTTGACTGATCACCCCAACTATTCTTCTGTCCAATAATATTTATTAGTGAATATATATTTTTTAATAAAGTAAATAAAGTTAGATTGGCCATTTGTACATTATTGGTTTAAAATTTACTTTATATTTAGAAAGATCAGTTAGTATAAAATGGAAGTAACTTTGAAACATTTCCATTCTATTTTTAAAAAATTACAAATGAAACACTCATCACAACTATAATTGTAAAATATAATAATAAATACCAACTTGCTGGTAGGTCGGGTGTCATCAGGTAAGGTCTTTTACCGACACCAGGAGGAGCCGATAATCTAGCAGCTTGCTCTTCAGCAGAAAGAACTCTTACAATCGTATTTATTACAAGTTCATCCATCTAAAAATAATGATTTTTAATAATAAAAACACACATTTTGATCACAACACAGTCCTACTTTATTTTAATTTTTAATTTTTAATTATTATAAATTACATCAAGTACATATATCTAGTCCTGTCATAAATATTTTTCAAGGAAATATATACAGATTTCAACAGAAAAATTAATTTTTTCAAAAGGTTTATTAGAAAATAAAATGTATATCTATAGAAAAAAAGAAATTACTTAAAATGCCCTCCCCCCTTTTGCCTTGACACAGGCATTTAATCTCCGTGGCCAGTCATCAATAGCAGCAAGGAGCACTTCTTAAGGAAAGGAGCACTCAACTGCTCGGACCAGAGATTATTTGAGGCTTTAGGGTGTGCTCTGTGGCATGCCATCCTCTCCAGTTTGGACCAAAGCCGATAATCTAGTGGGTTGAGATCAGGGCTTCCTGAGGGCCAATCCGAAGCAGAGATGAGCTCTGGAATGTTCTTTTGCAGCCACTACTAAGTTGACCTGGCCTTGTGTGCTGGAGCGGAATTCTGCTGGAAAACTCAATGACTTTCAACAAACAGAATATCATTTAAAGGCTTGACAACAGGATCTAAAATATCGTCCTGATAGTTTTTAGTGACTTCCTGGACTTCTTTAGAGCTGTGTGCGTAAACACGAACATTTTGGCGATTAAATTTTCTTCAATTATAAAAATGTTCTCATCGCTAAACAAATTCTTTCGATGCAGACCATTGGTGTAACGGCCAAGGAGCTCTTTGCATCTATCCACTCTATTTTTTTTTTAGGGAAGTGGTTAGCCTTTGTCCTGTCATTCTTCAAAATGTAACCATCCTACGGTCACTTTTTATTATGCGAGACATTGATCTGACAGAGATTCCCATTTCCAGAGACATGATTTGTTGTTTTCGAATGGGATTTTTCTGATTTGAGCAGCCACAGCTCTCACTGCATTTGCCGTTCTCACAGTGCGGAGATGGCCTGGTCGAGGTCTGCCACATACAGATAGGGTCTCATTAAATCTATTTATAGTGCTGTACACAAACATACGGCTGATACCCAAAGGTTTGAAAATCTCTGACCTACATTTTCCAACTTTGTGTAAGGCAATCACAGCTATTCGGTTTTCTTTATGACCCCACTTCATGTTAACTGAGCTAAAGAAAAATACAAACTAATTGGGATTATTATTCTGACATGTGAAGAAAATAACCTGATAGAGGTAAGGATTATCTAAATAATAAACAAGGATGTTAACAAAGTTCAACTTTTGTAACAGTATTTATGGCAGAACTAGGTATTAAATAACTTTCATAATCCTTCAGTATATTACCATAATTAACAAAATATTTATTATCAAATAATATAAATATTAGAAAAATAATTATATGCATTAAATGTATAGCTTGCCCACAATTAGTCAACAGCTTGAGGGTGAACTCATGCGACACAAAAACTAACATTTATTTTTCATTGCCCTCTGATATTGCGACAGAGAGCCAGAAACACCAGCACATGTGCTTGGAAAATGGCCCAACAACTCCCTCCTTATAACACACCGTCACCACAGAGTCAAACATGAACTGATGAGGCTCCTTGAAGAGAGAGATTACGCCTGTTTCGAGGAAGTTTATTGTATAGATACGGATGGATTCACCCGATATGCCGACATTGTAGCATTCCCTAAGAAAGGAAAGTCGGCGATGATTTTGGATCCTACCGTGAAGTATGAGACCAATGATCTCGATCAGGCAGGCAAAGTAGAAAGAGAGAAAAAAAAGACCTATGAGAAATGCATTCCTTTCCTTAGTGAAAAGTTCCGCGAGAGTTTCGGGCCAAGAGAGTTTCACGTGAGAGGCCCTTGGTTGAACAAGGAGCTTCATGGAGGGCCTTGGTGTCAACATAAAGGACGTGGCAAGGTTGGCAGAGAATATAATCCTCGACTCCCTGGGAATTATCCATCACCATGTGCATGGATAGAGAGAGAGTTTGTTCATGGGGGGGAGGCATGCGTGTTTTACAGCATTTTTACATTATTCATTGACCACGTCCACTGCACTTTATGTATTTGTATGCATGTTATGAATTAGGTTAAGAGAGTTAGTAAGGTTAGGAAAAGAGAGGAGAAAATCTATGGAATGAGAAAAATGTATAAGGGGAGAGAAGGAACAGAAAGGGATGTATAATGCTGATAAATGAATGAAAGAAATAGTAAAAAAAAAAAAAAAAAATTAAAAACAAAATATAGGAAAAAAATTACAATAAAAAAAAAATATATATGTAGAGATAAAAAAAAAAATTGTATACTATGCTCATACATATTGTTAATACTCTATAATTGTATATTAGTTTAGGAAAATTGTCTGTAGCAATTAATAAGTATGCTGTGTTTAAAGCAAACCAAGGTAATTGGGCAGCACCCTTTTCTGATAATAAAGTGATTCTCTCTCTCTCTCTACAAAAAGATGCGATTAAAAGATAACATCATCTTGCCTTCTAGTCTATACTTCATAATATAAAGGCTAATAAGATAAGATGGACAGCAATGAAGCTCAAAGCAATGCATCAGGCAGCTTTTACACAATGAATATCATAATCACTGGCAAAAGATAAAAATAAAAACAGATCGATAGAAAGATTCAACAAAGGTGTTGCATGCAGTAAACTGGTAAAGCAATAGGCAAGATAGGCAGAAGCAGAAAAGACAGGTATAATATCTAAAAGCCTACAGAAAAACACAGCCTTAGTTTCAATTTAACCCCACACTGGACGGTCAGGTAATTATGTGAAAACTATTTTTTCCTTTACTTTAAATATTGATAAACCTTGCATAAAAATAAAAATGGCTCAATATTCTAAAGACTTAAAAAATAGATTTACCAATTGTAAGAAAATATAACTTCAAAAATATATATATTTTTTTGTAAATAAACAATGAAAGATGAAACTCCACTCAGCAGATGTACGTAGTAATTCAAAACAATTAAAGGGACAAAATATCTACCATATATGTAATAACTTACTGTATTCAAAACTTTATGTGTCCATCTCAACTTCTTCGAAAGAAGGGAGTGCCATTTAACCCTTAGCTGCAACGCGAGCTGAGCCGTTTCCGAGTCAGTTCTAAATGTTGCCCAGTCGTCGACTTTAAGGGTTGCAGTCTCTTCGGGGCCGACTTCTTCCTCTTCTGAATCGGAACATAAGCTGCCTTCGACTGTAAGAATAAAATAAAAAAAACATTCATAAATTATATAACATAAGAGAGAAAATCAGAAAAGTTTATTAGAGCCAAAATTCAGAATTGGGTCGACTGAATTGAAATTTTTACACATTATTTAATTCTTCTATTACGTCAATATTATCATCATTCAAGCCTTGACAAACAATATAATATAACGAGTTTATTCAAAATCATTAAAGTTGTTTTCGAAAAAGTTGTGAAAAAATATAAAATTGATAATGTTAAGTGGCACTTCCAGTCAGTCACATTTTGAGAAAAAGTTGCTGTAATATCCCAGAAAAATAAATATTTTAAATACGTATTTACATTTCATATGACTTTTTGTTTTTGAGCTAGGCTATTCTTATATACACCCTTACACCCCACATAGACCATTTGGCGAGTCTTGTTTGTTAGGACTGATAAGACCTCAAAATGTATATTGTCATAGAAAACTCAAATATTTCATTTATAGGTAACTGAATATAGAAATATACTTACTGTGAGTGTCAGAAAGGGCATCGTATGGGATGGCTCTGGGCGAAGCAAATACAGCGACTGTTATAGGGGAGAGAACTGTCGCCGTTCTTATGTGACAGACTGTCGATGATCGAGACAGTTCCTCGAAAGCTACCCATTCTGTCGGGAAATAGGTGACAGAACCTTTATTTCCATCATGTAAAACTGAAGTGCAATGGAGGCGAACTTTATGCTCTTTTCTGAAAGAAATATAATACTCAATATTGAATTCCATAATAAAAAAAGTACATCACAAAGTATTATCCTAGGCCGGAGATGGAGAATTTTATTAAATTTTAAAAGAGGCTGTTATAATTTTATATATTTCACTATAGATATTTTTATTTATTTAAGTATTCAATAAATTTAAAAAACCTTGTAATTTATGAAATTGTAAAGAATATAATTGGGAAATACCAAATACAAAAACCCTAAAACTCAACAGGGGTAAGAAAATAATTAACCTTCAACATTTCGCCAATTCAGGCATTATCAGGCCAGAAACAATCAAAATCACATAAATGCAAATCAAATACATACACATCATACTATATATAATATAATACATAACAGTCTAAAAAGGATACATCAGCTAGAGACAGTGCAACACTATATGTAAACATTGACATTTTAGTTTGTTTACCAGTATATTAGAGATTTAAAGCTTTGAATTTTTAATTTTTCGCAAATATCCTAAACAGTAATCTATACAATTAAATATTAATAAATACAAGCCGATTTTCAAACTAATTGCCTCATATATCGATTCAGAGCTATAAGTATAGTTTCCACATTTTCATAACAAAACACAATGGGCCATGGCGTAGTTGAAATTTCTGACATATTAAAAAATTAAATTTTTGGAAAGCAAAAATTTAAGGAAAGTATAATTATTAAAGAAGGTTGACAAAAAACAATCCAAATAGTAATATAAAAAACTTACACAGTTCTAAGGATGTTATGCTGTCTATCGACCCTAGCTATATTTGGGTACAACCCACCTGCCTAAAAAAATTAATAAACATTTAGTAAAAGTTAAAGTTAAGTTCTTAATTACAAAATTGCACTGAAAAATACTCACAATTGCAGCTTTAACAACCGCCCAATTGTCAGAATTAGCATTTACATATTTAATATCACCATGCCCTTTTGATTTAATGAATCCTGAAGCACGCAACTGAGCGAGAACTTGAGCCCTTGTTCCAAGAATCATTTCCATTGCTGCACCGTTAATATAGTGTTGTTGGCAGAACTGCCTTCCACGTCCCTGTTTCCTTGCCTCCTGCCAACTCTGAAAGAAGCATATAATCAAATTGCTAGTATTTTTAATTTTAGAGAAGGTGATATCGATTAATAAAAAAATAAAACCTGTACTCCTACAACCCTTTACCTCTGAAGTCATCATATAAAAAGTATAGTTTAAATTTCAAAAACTGTCATAAATTTATTTTCTCATTAATATAGACTAAAAATAATTGCAGAAACAAACTAACCTGAAAAACTCTAAGTAGTACCATGTGATCACTCAAACTTCCAGCTGCGAATCTTGCTCGTTCCGCATGAACGTCCTTCTTTTTACCAGCTGCCATCGGCAAAATAAAAACATCTCTAAACAAAAATTAATCTCAATTAAGCAAGTGTTATATTTAATATTTAAAGAAATATTCAATTTACATAAAATAATAAAAAGTCAATAATTACCTATAGGAAAGGCAGCAGACTATAGTCAGCACAGGATCAAGGCATTTGAGGACGGAAGCGTAAATCAACATTTTTCCATATCTAGGCTCGATCGGGAAATCAAGTAGGTGATGCCCGAGATCGGTCAGATCTTCCCACGTATCAAGGGCATCAATGGTCTAGAAATCAAACAAAATAAATCATCTAAACTCTCACAGCTTTAATTTACTTTTTTTATTTACTTTTATTTTAATTACCTCTTCATTTTCATAATTTACACATTAAAAATTAAATCATTTATTTAAGCAGAAATAATTATTTTATTAATAAACTAGTTTTATCTGGCCAAGTGCTGCTATGGCTCAGTTTGGCAAAATGAAAAAGAAAGAAAATAGAAACCACTTATGAGTGGCTTTATATCAAAGGACATCTGCCATTTTTAAAAAGTTGAGGGAAAAAAAAATTGTTTGTAACATAGCTTAAATTTAAACTAATTCTAATATTTTTTTTTTCATGATTCAACTTCAACATTCTTAATCATTAGAAACAGTTTGAGTTAAACTTATAAAACAAAAATTGATTTTTTCTCAGCTTTCTGAAAATGACAGAGATCCATCTTTGATATGAAGTCGTTCATATATTTTCATGTTTAATATAATCAATTATTTGTATATTTAATATATTGTTTAATGTTCAACTTTGTGTTGATTATTTTATGGCAAATGTTCGTTTGTGTGAAATCTTTAATCTCAGAAAGTTATCCACCGATTGTGTTGATATTTTGGCTAATCTTGCATTTAAATATGCGCGTGGTTTTATATACCTATTATAAAATATCAGGTAAAACTATATATATTTATTAAAACAGCACCATTAGTTGGATGTAAAAGCAACACAAGCTGTTGAAAATATTTTACAATACTCTTTCAATGTTAAAAATTTTCCAATATGAAACATGGCACTGCATTAAAATTGAGCTATACCTTTTACCATAGCGTTCATTCCGTGTTCATTAGAGCAGCCTTCAACCTCCCTTAAAAGATTTCACATACCCCTCTTAAGATATTTGATTGCCCACTTCTTCTTAATAACAACTTGATTAAATATGGAGTTATAAAAATTGTAGTAGGAAAATAAACCTTACTCATGAAAGAAACCCCAAGGTAAACGGCACAGCTTTATTCCAATTTAACGTTAAAGAAATTGAAATAAATGAAAAACAGATTTCTAAAAGGAATCAAGAACATAAACGGTGATAATTACTACTTTCCGAACATTTTGCGGGAAAAATATAAATGTAAATTTAAAAAGCGTAAATAGTATTGACATACATCAGGAGAATTGTATCACTTCTTCAATTGATAACCTCAATTACATCAGTAGTTATAAAATTTTTGATTAATCAATAACCAAAAAAAGAAGGAAATGGACATTGACAAAGAAAATGTTTAAAACTCAACATCTCTGCACTGAATCGTCCGATTTCAGTGATTTTTTTTAATTTTGTAGGGAATTCAGGAAGGTTTTAAATAATTATGGGTATAATCAAGCAAAAATTGTGTATACAAATATTTTTAGATTTAACGCCTTCAAAAGGAGTAAATAAAGAAAAACTCCTAACACATGTTAATTTTATATCTCTTATAGTGATATGTTTATAGGATTTGTTTCATTTTGTGTAGTTTATGTGGTCCTAAATTCCTGCTACATGTTTTGAGAAAATAAGGAAGCATGTTAAAGTTATCACAGTTTTTGTGACTTTCTAAAAAAATTCAGAGGGTTCACAGAAGCACTATCCCAGAAACCTTCACGGGAGTATATGCAACAACTTCCCAAAGTTTCATGGCGATCGGATCAATGGTTTAATAATGCATAAAGGATAAATAGACAGACAGACACACATATATATATATATATATATATATATATATATATATATATATATATATATATATATAGTGCTTCTTCCGTGTTCATTGGAGGTTCAGAAGACTCAGAGACCACAAAAACGTATGTCATCTCAAAGATCCAATGCAAAAATAATTGTTCGGAACGGTAACGTGGATGCTGGAGAGTTATGGTATGAGCATGGCCAAGTTCATATTACTTGATCTACAAAAAACCTGATGTTTTAGGAAATAATTTTTTTGCATTAACATATTAGCATTGGGCCCACTGTCCACACTATTCTTTTTGCTCTTTAAACTGTCACAAACTAATTTATAGCTTTTCCAATTTTTAATCAAGTTGCTAAATTGCTAATACAAAGTTTTTATATACACTCATTAAAATCTCTATTTTTTATAAATCATACTGTACAAGGATTTTTTTATATAGTTTCTTGAAGGTGTGCGAAAAATTAAATCTTCCTCCTGGTATAAATTGTTTTTTTTTGCTTATATTTTTAATGTTTCAGGGCTGTAATTATTATTTAATTAATCTTCAGGAGTATTATATTTCCTATTGTTCCCAAATATTGTCCTATTGTCATCCATGATTTTTTAAATAGAATATAAGTAAAAAGTCATTAGAAATGACGATATAAAAAAAAAATATTGATGAAATTTATAGGACAATATTTAGAAACAGGAGGAAATAGAATATTCCTGAATGTGGGGACGAGCATTGAATGAGACTTGAAACGTTGAATAAGTAAGAAAAAAAGAATGAGTAATAAAAAAAATTTACCCTAGGAGGAAGATTTAATTTTTCGTATACATACAAGAAACTATTAATAATCTCAATTTTTTATTTGAAATTTAATCAGAAATATGTTAACTTATTACAATGAAATCTGTAGAAAATCAAATTACATCAGTGTACAATAACTACAAAGTAGGTAGGTACTTTGTAGTTATTGTACACTGATGTGATTTGATTTTCTACAGATTTCATTGTAAGAAGTCAACGTACTTCTTACCTACCTTTAAGAGTGACACGGCAGATCTACTAGCCATGCTGGACGGAGGGTCTAGAGCTCTTGATAAGAAGTCGACGATAGAAGTATTAGGAGGAGCAAGCTGCTTTGCATATAAACATAATTCCTGAAACAAAATATTTCACAAATTGACAAAAAAAAAAGAAAGCAAAAAGTAGGAGTTTTAGGATAGTCTTGTGTCATTTTGAACAGTAGCTTTCCTAATATAAAGTTAAGCGTAGCCAAGGAGGGCGTAACATCTTACACCTTTTGGATATAATGCTTTTAAAGACACAAACAGAAATAAAACATACAGTAAAGTGTTTTTACTTTATGAACAGTTAATTAATAATCATTAACAAATTCTTGGACCATTTTTCTTCTCAAAATACATAAACAAATAAAAATTTCTTTATCAATATTAAAAAACTTTTATTTAATTGTTATCACATGTATTTGTTTAGTTGTTATCACATGTATTTGTTTAGCTGTTATCAAATATATTGGTAACGTTTCAGCCCCTTGGCCATTTTTTAACATTTCTTCATATATATTATTATTACCACATGTCTAATTTTTTCTAAAACTATTAGTCAACATTCTTTGATTTAGACAAAAAATTTTCTTTTCGTCTATCAAGATTTTATTGGTGGTTATTTTTTCTTTCTCATTTCATATGTGTACGTAGATAATCAATAAAGAACCTGGATTTCCAGAATTTTTATTATAAACATAAAATAAATATTCAGAAAATAGTGCAGATACACGTTGTTGATTATCTACATATACATTTGAAATAAGAAAGAAAAAATAACCACCAATAAAAATCTTGACCAACAAAAAGAAAATTTGTATTTTAAATGAGAGGATATGGACAAATAATTTTAGAGAACTTTAGAGAGAGATAGGCAGTAATAATACATATAAAGAAAAAAATAAAAAATATCAAAAAGTTTCAGAAATAAAATTTTATTTGTTTATATATTTTGGGATTAGAAATAATAATAAGAATCAAAGGCTAAACGAACCCGAAGGTTTAATGGCGACACTACCAATCGCTGTCTACACAGCTTTCTCCACCGGTCGCCATCCAAACCCAGTTCCTTTAGATTGGCCTTAACGCAATCATCCCACCTTCACTTCGGTCTACCCCTCGGATGTTTACCATTCTGCACAGGAAATATTAACCTTTTAGGAATTCTTTCATTATTAAGTCCAACAATTTTACAAGCCCATTTTATTCGCTGTGATGTAATCACCTCAACTGGAATTAAAAATGGGTCCCAAAATTTGTTAATGATTGTTAATTGACTGTTCATAAATTAGCATTATTGCATCCCATCTTTATATAATATACAATATTTAAACATAATTATTTAATTGGGAATAAGGTTATACAAGCTGTTTTTGTTGTTGATAGATATATTTTCTTGATGCTGTTATATTTATAATGGATGCATTTTTCAATTGCTTTATATAAAATAAAAGCAATTTTCATTATTTTGCATGTAATATTTTGCCTTCGGGCTTAGGACCAGGGTGGGCAGACACTTGGCAGTTCAGTAGCTTAATACCTGTGCTGAGACTGTAGGTGTGTCCCTGGCCTGATGTATCAAAGCTCTATTTTAAAGCTTTGAAGAGGATCCCATTGTTAACTTATAACAAAACCGGGATCGAAACGTTTAATAAACACAGAAGCAAGAACATTTAGTAGTTTATTGAACAATTAATAAGTGACCTTATTTCCAATTAAATAATTATGTTTCAATTTAATACTCAAAGGTCGATTAAAGAAAAGTTGTATAATATACAATATATATATTTATAAAAAAAATTATAGATAGCTTGTTAAGGCGGAAAAAGACTAAAAGGTCTGTAATGGCAACAGAAAAAAATAAATAATAAAAAACTTTTAATCAATTTAAAGGTAAAAAATGAATAATTTCGACTGTTCAAATCTGCTGTTGTTTTGCCCTTTTCTGTGAGTAAGGGAACAAAATACAACAATAATAAAATAAACTGAGTTAAGATATGAGAACAATATTTACATATGGTGATATTTCAAGAGGAATATGATCAAACTAAAATGAATACAGTTATTCTATAAAGATTTTCAAAATTAATTAAATATATATTATTAAAAACTAATTTTATAAAAATAATTTTTGGTCGAAAATTGGAATCTAAACTTTCTTTTTTACTTTTATATGCATTTTTCAGACATATCTCAAATAAAATTGGTTCACTGTATAAAATAAATTAGTATTAAAAGATTTATCAAGGAATTTCCACATTAAAACTATATACAACATTAATGTATTTAATAATCAATTACCTGCAGCGGAACTCTTAGAATCTCAGGCGTGGCATGCTGCTGAAGAGCTTCGTAGCGCAGACTGGAATAGAGGCGATAGCAGATGCCAGGGCCTGTCCTACCAGCTCGGCCCTTCCTCTGGATAGCGCACGACTTGCTGACCCACACGGTGCACAGCTGGCTAACTCCTGTCAGAGCATTATAAGACTTCTAACCTCAACAAAATAGCACAACCACCTTTAAAGTATTATCGATAAACTTTCCATCTCTTCAATATAATTATCATTAGTACAGTTTAAATTATCCCTGTGAAAAAATTTAAATTCAAAACCTTTAACAATAGAGTTAAATTAACCAATTAAAGTTTAATAAACTAAAAACTTAATTTCTTGAACAGTAAAAAACATATTTGACTTACTCAGTTAAATACAATAAAAAAATACAAAGAAAGCGGCATATTCACACTTTTACCCGATAAATTATTGTTAAAGCCGTCTTTAGAGTATTTCTTTTTACTTTCTTTTACAATAGTGATAAATGTATTAATATATGGAGGAGGACCCAAAAATAACTATACTTTTGCTCTGAAAAGTTAGTTATACAGACCCCTTTTTATCCAGTTATTAACATCCGCCTAAACCTTTGTGAATTTCATCGTAACACACAACTTTTCTATATAAGAAAATTCTTGGAATTGGGAAGTTTTCAATCTAGACATTGGCAAACTTTGTCTATTTAATCAGGTACTAAAAACACCCATTTGCTTTCCACTAGAATCGTAAAATAATTTGATCACAAATTTGAGAAAAAAAGGTGGCCTACAGAAATATTGGGCCATTTGACATGACCTCCACCCCCAATATGACATAACAATGACGTTATATAGGCCAAACAATTCAATGTTTTTAGAGATCACCTGTTTTATTTGATTTGTGATCAAATTATTTTATGATTTATAGCAGAAATCAAATAGGTATTTATAAGTTATATTAAAACTTCGTTAAATTAATTAGTTTAATGAGGAAACACCTCATTTCTGATAATTTTTGTGGGTAAAAAATTTGTAGTTTCAATAAGATGAAGCCATTTACAAAGTTTTAGGCGGATGTTAATAATTTGATAAAAAGTAGTCTATACCACGGGCTATTAATTTAACATTTTTTTTTTTTTTTCAAAGTTCTTTCAATCTCCTACAAATCACTCTCCAATAGAGTTGAGCATAAAAGGTGACACAGACTCCTTTCCCAGGCGAGATGGTGAATAGATCAAAAACAGAAGAGAATACAAATACATTCTTACAATGCTCTACAAGGCATAGTTTGAGTATGTGCTTTTAATTAAAAAGTAAATAAATTGATTTTTAACAGATTAAGATCACTATCAAATCAGCAAATATAGAAATCAAAGTTTTGTTTTGCAGTAATTAAAATTAATCAAAACTGAACAATTAAAGTTAATCCGACAATAACAAGCCAAAGAAAACTTACCTCTTTCATTTTGCCAGTATCAATTACGTAACTGATATCGTCAATCGTGATACTGGTCTCTGCTATATTAGTCGACAAAATGATCTTCCTCGTATTTATAGGGGTCGGTTTGAACACTAATTTCTGTTCACTAGTCTAAAAAAAAAAAAAATAATAATATAATTATAGTTTACAAATTTTTACAAGTTCAAAATTTGAGGGAAATTTTTCTTCACCTGCATATTGCTATGAAGCATTAAAATCAAGACTTTGGTCTTCTGAGACATTCTTCGCTCTTCTGAAATTAAAAGCTCCTTCAAAGTCATAATATCCTCATAACCAGGAAGGAACACTAGGATTGAACCTGAAAGAAACAAGATAAATATAAGTTTAAAATAAAGAGATTTTGTGCAATTCTGTGTTTTTTATAGAGCAGTTTAAACACAAAGATGAAACTTTAAATATAACAAAGTTTACTATTCTATCAAAATCATGACACTGTTTGTGCTCCAAGGATATATAAATGGGAACTAGAATAAATCTCAGAAAAGTCCTGACTGCTTACCTTTATTAATATTTTCAACATGTATCTGAGAAATAAGAACCATCAGAAGCTTCATGTCGATAAAGTTGTCATTAAAGGAACAATGGTATAACTCGAGCAGTTCTTTATCAACATCACTAAGCTTCCTCTCGACAGCTATCTCATTTGTATTACTGTCAAAATTGGAAACGGCGAGAAGAGTTCTGAAATGGTAAATTAATGATAAATAACCTTAATTAGCTTATTCATATTTTTTTGAGAAATTTCTTAATAATTATTATATTTTGCCTAATATAGTCCGTCTAGATTACAGCTCAATAAGGATAAAATGAAAGTGATTAAAAAGGAAAGAAATTAGAATGAAGTTTGTGATAACATGAGGAGAAGAAAATAATTTTTGTGGAATGGTAAGAAAAATAAAACAAAACACTTTATAATAAATAAAACAATTACTACCATTGAGGAGTATTCTATATACATACATATTTTAAGAATTTTTTTAGAAATAATGTTTTTGTAGGACTGATGTGTTTTTTTTTAATAAAATGAAAAACATTTTTGAAAATTGCTTTTGGAGCCGAAACATTAAAAAATAATTTTTAAATGTAAAATAAAAAGGCTGTGAGATCAAAAAGGGTTTTGATATATAAATAATCATATATAGATTAAATATAGTAAATTAAAGTTTATAATAAAATTATTTATACATATTAATGTATATAAATACAAACTAGATTATAAAATTAGTTTGTGTCAATTTAAAAAGTATTTGTTAAACTATGGTGGGGGGGGGGTAAGAGAACTGACAAGGATTATTCCTTTCTACTAAATAAAATGCTCTGCCTCACTTACTTCACGAATCATCATCCCGTCACTTAACACTTTTCAAGGTTATTTTATCTAAGAATAAAAATTTACATTTTGTTAAAAAATATAATAAAAATCTTAATTATTGGGACATGAGCCCCTTTAGAATAAATTATTAATACCAGTTTGCCAGAACAGTATGGACATACTTTGTAAAATGGTGTAAGTTATACAAAATGATTAATAGGACAATAAGTATAGAGTCTTTGAGGGATGAGTATGTTAAGCAATGTCCGCATTAACATTCTTAAATCTAGATGCACCAGTTTAAATCCAGCCTGGAGAGGAGGGGGAGTGGATTGGCATTTATTTTGTGGTGGATCCATGGAATGAATCTTGACTTTTCCACTATGCTAGAATAGGTTTGGTTGTACCTCTAGAAATGGCAAGATGGGGGTAAACGAAAAAAAAAAAAAAAAAGTATAGTAATATTAACAGCATTAAATATTTAAAGTTTAAAAAATAAAAATATATATATTTATTACATTTAAAAAATTTGTCAGAGTATCTGATTTCAAATATTGGTGGGGTTCGATAGGAGGAAGCATGGGCAGAAGCTATCTCTACCATAACATGTGTCAATTCTCTTCGTGGCTCTACTTTATATATACAACCCAGTTTAAATCCAATATAATTTAATATCACGAATTTTATATTTATTGTGAAAAATGAAATAAGCCCAGAGATAATAATGAGAGAGTTCTGTCAGTTAATTAAACGCATACAAATTCTACAAGAAATTGTATTCAAGGAATTGTGTGTTTTCACTTTCAATCAAACATTGGCCAGGGAGAGAAATCTACAACTTATACTTAATTTAATCAGAAGTATAAAAAACTATATTGAAAAACTTTACGAACTTATATGTTACAAATTAATTTAACTTGAGATATTTACTCACTCATGTGCTCTTAATATGTCGACAATTTCCACTCGATTAAAACATTCAGCAAATTTTATAGCAGAATAGCCATTGGAGGCTTCCAATAACAGATTAGCACCGAGAGCCAACAGCTGTTCGATGACCTCGGCCGAGCCTCTAGCGGCTGCTACCATCAGTGAACTTATACCCGTATTGGAATGCTAAAACATTTAAAACATCATTATAAATTTTTTACCAAAACTATTTGTTAAATTGAATTCAATTATAAATGAAAGTTAATAAAAAATAAAATAAAACAAACCTGATAATCCACATTAACAACTTCATTTTGAAGTAAGTATAAAAGCTGCGCAAAGGCAGCATCGCTTGCAGTCAGCCAAGCCTCTTGAATAGCTTCGTCCATTTCCTTACATGTCCCAACATCCTCATGGCCCTGATATTAAAAGAATTTATGAATTATAGAAATGGATTAAAATAACTTAATAGCATAAAGTAATCAAACACAAGAAATAAGAAAAAATCTGGTTTGAGCATGACACAACTTTCGCTCACCATCGTACTTATAGCAAATATTGATTTCTGCTCAAATATGGCAGAAGTAGTTAGATGCTAAGGCACTTTGTCACTTTTCTACTTATTTGTTTGATGGCCCAGTGTCCAAAAAGCCTTAAGTTAAATATTTTATTATTTTTAGAAATATACAATAGACTGAAATGGATAATTGAAATACAAATCGTCAGTACCATATTACAGTAATGAATGTGAAAAATCACGTAACTTCGGTTATCAAGTTGCCAGGCAACGTGAGGTGCTGTGCACAGATGTAGCGGACCAGGAGGGCTGGAAGATGCAGTGGACCGCACCACAGTTGAACCGTAATACATTTTCCCCATAAATATATATCCATTCATATTGTATAATAAGAAATTTTATAATAAAGCATTGTAATGTACACCTTTATTGGAAGTGAGTAAAAAGGGTTTAATAAATTAATGTTGAACAATTAAAAGGCAAGCTAATCTAGTTCTACTAGTGCAGGGAAAAGAAAATGGCTGCTCTGTAGTTTCCCAAGAAGAAAAATCCTAAAGAGGAGAGGGACAAAGGTTTTTGTTTTGGCAAGCAGTTGGTGTTTGGCTGGAGAAAAGAGAGGATAGGAGAAGGGATCCTGGCTCCAGTGGGTAAAACCCAGTAATAGTGTTACCAATTTGGAAGTTGAGTTTTGGCAGAACTTTGGAAAGGGTTTGAAGACAAATGAATTCAGTGCAACAAAGGAAGAAACAGTATATATAGAAAAAAGGTTAGCTTGCCAATCCATACTTGACTTTATTATAAAATCAGTGTTTAATTTTACTTTAAATAATAATAGTTTGTCTGAGTTGATCTGATTGTCAGTAACCCATACCTGAGATAAATAAATATATTAATACTCTTATAATTTTGTTTATTATTTAATAACCTCTTATTTATTAAGGAAGTATCCCAATGGTATAAAGTGGTCTGCCACGAGGTTATATTATTATTATTATTTGTAAAATATAAGAGGGATATTACAGTATTTTATTAGCAGTAGTGGGACTATATATACATTTTAACTCACTACAAGAGTAGAACAAAACAAAAATGTTGTAATAACAAATAATCATAATCGAAAGTTAACATTGAGCAAATTCACATTCGTTACTTCAATATGGTGCGGACCAAATGAATTTAAATTATTTATGTTTGAAGTTTAAATTTTACCTGAGTACTATTAGAGGCTAAAAGTTGAGCAGACGCACTAGACGTCATCGAAGCATCGTCTCTCACTGCTTCAGCCCACTTATCTAGCTGAGCCGCTTGAGCTTTTTTCTTCTCGAGATCTTTGCGCATCTTTTCCATTTCTGAGGTCATGTAACCAGTCCTGTAAGAATACAAAAAACAATCATAATAAAAAACAAACAAAAAAAAACCTGTACCACTACAACCCATGGAGGTTCATGGGCTCAGTACTTTGTGAGGAAGAACTATTTCAAGGCCAACAGCTGAGAGTTTATTGGGCCAAAGATCACACACAGCCACCATATTTTCCCTCTTAACTAATTATTTAAATAAAAGTACTCATTTTAAAAAAGGCTGGGTGTTCCCCAAGGGCTTCTGATCCCAGGGTTGATTCAACACTGATATAACAAGGGACCTTGAGCTTAGGAATCCAGCACCTTACTCACTGAGCGTTCAAACTTCCAAGTAATTATAATATTATAACATAATTAATCCTTAAAGCCAATAAAAAAACTCAACAAACCAAATTTGATATTTATTTTTTATGAATAGTAAGGCAATGATTCCTCCTCTTTAATACATTGTTTGTTTGGCTTTTTAATGACAATAAGCAGGAAGGATTATGCGGGAATACTAAATATTAATTAAAATAACAATAGACTAAAATTTTAAGAAAAATACTAAAAGCAAAAACAGGATGATTACCAGACAGTTAAAGTCAAACTCCCTGACATTTCTCTATTTAATGATAGTTTTCCCTATATGATGATCCCTATATAATGAGCAATATGTCTGGGGACACAAATATTAAAAATGCAGAAATGAATTCTGAGTGCCTAAAATTTTGTTAGGAAAAAATATAGAGACAAGATCCTATCAGGTATAGGTTAGCTGCCGAGGCCATAAAAAATGCCCATAATCTCTAACCACAGAAAAATTATCAACAGTCTGATGTAGTTTGAAACCACTGTCTCAAATGAGACTATCATCGCCTGGCCCAGGTCTCCTCTCGACTCAGTCCACCGCTGTTAAAAGGTTAGTAAAGTTCTATGTTAAAACTTAATCCTGATACAAGTACTGCAGTTCATCTGCTATCAACTAATCGCGATTAAATTATAGATCTTACATCTTTTATGTTGATGGCACTGAGTCAAAAGTAGACATTAAAAAAATTATTAATTTAGAATTAATATAAAACTTAAAAAAAAGAAAAATAAATTTAAAAGGACTAAAGAACTGAAGAAAATATACAATAAAGAAAATACTTACTGTTTCAAAATGTCTTCTAAATGGTGTTCTTTAACCTCGAAAAGTTTTCCAGGAACTAAACAAATGAGATTTAAATAATAATTATGTTATAAAAAAATATATAAATTTTCATAATGAAAGTTAAAAATATGATAATGTGAAGTAAAAAATATAATTATAATCAAAGGAAGGAGATGGTCCGGGGTGGCGGTCATAAATAGGCTAAATAGTTTTACCACGATTTAGCCTATTTATGACCGCCACCCCGGACCGTCTCCTTCCTTTATAATCCAACGGTCAACTATTAAATATTCAATATAATTATAATCCTTTAAACTTAATATGAATGCAAATTAAATCTGAAAAACATAAAAAAAAAAAAAAAATGAAAATCAGAAACAAAATTATAAGCAAAGAAAATATGTTAATAAGTACCAGTTATCACAGGACAATTATTGAAATAAGAAGAAAGAGTGCTTGAATCTGCCGTTGCTGACATGAGTATCAAACGCAATGAACGGAACTTGGCTAGAGCTTCCCTCAGTACAATTAGCACAAAGTCACTAAGCCTGTCCCTCTCGTGAACTTCGTCAACAATAATGTGTGTTACAGTTGCCAAAACTGACTCTCCTGTCATTAGAGTACGTAGAAGAACACCATTTGTACAATACATGAGTACTGTATAAGGAGAAACTCTGCAATATAAGACAAATATATAAAAATTAGTACATACATATATTTGGCAAGAGAAAGCTTATCATTTTTATACATGCTTATAAAAATGAGCTGTTAATGAATTATCAAATGTTCAAAAATGTATAGCATACTACTTTATAGGAATATTACATATATAAAAATGATATATCGATACTAAAATCTTAAAAATAATTGAAGAATAAAATAAAAAAACCAAACTATAATTCTCAATATTTTTTTATTTTTATCAATGGGATAAGGATACTTCATGTTTAAAAACTTATTGCTTCCTCTGATCATAGATACTTTTAAAATAACAACTATCATCATCTATATTTTGAACAATGTAATAAAATCAAATTCAGGTACAATGTAATTGAAATACTAGAAGCTATTCCCAGAGTTCAAACGCTTCTCTATGCAGACGACTTAGTTATCTGGGCTACTAGCAGCCACATGAAAGCTATCGAGTGCTGCTTAAATAATGTATTAATATCACTACATAAATGGACGGTGGACAACCAGTTTGAGGTTAATACTCTCAAAACTCATTATCAAATGTTTACCCTCTCGACTAAAAGACAAGAAGTAGATATTATATATAATAATGAGAAGCTGACTCAGACTGATTCTGCAACATACCTGGGTATGAAGTTAGACTGCAAACTTACTTGGAAGAACCATTTAGATAAATTAACTGAGCAAGGAGAAGGCAGATTAAAAATTGGCTCCACGTATACACCGACGGCTCCACTCAAGCAGCTACGCGGAATGCAGGAGCAGGAGTATACTGCAAAGATTTCATGTTATCAATCCCTGCTGGTAGCCGGGGAACAAACTTTGATGGAGAAGTCAAAGCCATTTCGGCAGCATTGACTGAAATAGACAAAGAACTCACCTATTCCCGAGTTGTGATCTTTGTCGATTCACAAGCAGCCCTACTGTCGATCTGCAATGGTCTGGACCATCCTGATGTCACTAGTGCCAGAAATCAGATTAATAACTTAATTAAAAAAGGAATCCGAGTGGCTTTACAATGAGTTCCAAGCTATTGTGGGCTACCAAGAAACGAAAAAGCTGATGGCTCGCAGGGATCGCCTCAGAAATGCCACAAACTAATCCCCCGCTGCCCTACAAGGAATCTGTTAAAAGGATTTTAATTTTAAAATTATTTTACAAGGAAGAGAACTTAAGTTGGCAAAAGCAACAGGCAGCGGGGAAAAAATGGGAATGTTTAACAGAGGAGCCCATGAAACATACCAAAAATCGGAAAGAATCGGTGGCAAATTTCCGCATGGCAACAGGGCACGATTACCTTTGAGGGCGGGGTGGCCGAATGGGCTAACACGTGTGCACTGCACCGCCGTTGCCAGGCAACCGGATATATGATTCTATGATATGAAAATAGTCACGAGTTCGCGTCCCGATGCCAGAGGGGATTTTAAATTCCCCACCCTCACCCTTTGGTCTGGGAAAATCCCATATAGCCTAAAAGGCGAGGTAGGGAAGAACAGGAAAAAAAAAAGAAAAAAAAAGACACGATTACCTGCAAAGGCATTTATATAGGATTGGAGTGGTGGAAAGTCCCGTGTGTCCTCTTTGCCAACAGAACGAGATGTACGACCTGCACCTCTCAGTTTGCCCCGATGCGATCGGAATAAATTTAAACAAAGGATTCATGGCGGAGTTGTATTGGGCTGCCAGGAGCCGAATGGCCTAATAGCCAATGGCAGAGGCGTTTAATAAAAAAAAAAAAAGGTAAGTAAATGTTGTTTCATCATACTTACTTTCCTTCAAGCCTAATTTGATAGCCGACAGACTGGCCAACTTTATCTCCTCTCTCAGTGGCTACTCTTTCTGCAACGGATACTGCAGATATTCTTCTAGGTTGAGAGCAAACTATACGGCAAGGGCGACCAGTTTTTTCATGCCATTCGAGTAAAAATTGAGGAACCTATAATAATAAAAAAAAATCATTACAAAAAATTAATCGATGTATCTCTTAAAGATACGTCATTAAATCGGTTATGTTATTCAGAAACTAAATAAAAAATTTAAAACAAGTATGTTTAAGTATAATTGAACTTTATATAGAAGTACTAAAATGAGTCAAAAACTTCAAATATATATATTTTATCCTTAATACAGTGAGCACTTTTGATATTTCTTTTTAAATTGTCCTTATGTCCAAAAACTTTATTACATGCATTACAGACGTATTGTAATTGTTTGGCATGAATATTTATGGGCCTTTCAACACTCTACTGACAGTTGAATTCTTAAAAGTACACCCCACAACAATAGATCTTTTGTTTATCATGAATCAATAAGTTCCTCATCCAATTACTTTTTTAACAAATGATTTATTGCAACTTTGGCAGTAAAATTTTGAGTCTTCTAAGGTAATAACAAAAAAGTTAAGGCAATATTTAAAAATCAAATCAATTGATATAAAAAAAAGCCTTAGTTCACAAAAAATAAACAATGGATAAAAACAGTAAATAATAGTTGAAAATAAAAAACAAAGAAAGAAAATGATGTGTTCAAAGTAAAATTAAAGTAGAGAACACAAAGAGAAACGTCAAGTACAAGAGCTTAGAGAAAACGAAGCCGACTGCAGTAGGTTGAACTGAGAAGGGGAGGGGAGACCGAGCGTTGACTGTACAAGACGACCAGACATGATGATTGTTCCTCCTAAAAAATATTTTGCTCCCTAGAGATTAGTAGTGGTGCCCACGTGGCATCACTCGTGTCTAATAATATCAATACATATTTTAATAAACATGTAATAATTGATTGCAAATATGAGCGATTAATTTGTAAATAGTAATTTAATAATATCATAGCATTTTGTGCTTTGTTTTTTTGATCATCGTTATTGAGTTCCATGGCATGCTGCAGATAGATAAGTTTTCATTAAAATGTATTATAATTTTGCTTAAATATGCATACTGAATTCATAGAGATATAATTATTATTTGATAATAATAATTCATTTATCGATATAACATCATTATTATATTATTTAATTTCTTTCTTTGGCAGTGAAAAAATTAAAAAAATGAATGACACTGTTGGTAACACTGCTAGTTTTGGAAATAATAAAGGTATTTGTTATTAAATGTATTTACTTTTTTTATTGATATCGTTATATTTTCTTTTTAAATATCATAAAGAGTGTCGTACTTGCAATTGATATTCACTGCTTGCACAAAAAAAAATCTGGTGAGGTGCACCCATCACACAACTATCACTTACCATCCTCTTCTTTTCAGAATAAGCATTTTCAGACAAAGGGGAAGTGAAAGTAAAAATTATAAACACTATATTGATTATATTTTATTGTGGGTATTTTTATTTGTTTAAGTAGCCTTATATATACAAATTTTAATATTTATATCGCTGTAATCTATACAATTAAATATTAAATAATACCAACGAAAACATTTAGAAAAACCGTATATGTATATATACATCATATAGTCGGAGTCCATATTTTATGATACTTATGGAAGCCTGTTGTAATCTTCGGGCCAGCTAGGGTGAACTTGGCCGTGCTCGTATCCCTTTGGTTCCTTCATTACAACTATTCTCTGTTACGATCTCATATTTCTCCTTTAGTTAATTATCGAATTCTTCCATATTTTATATTTAAATATTTTTTATATTACAGATCAATGTGAAATGGTTAGATAGACAGATAACCTATGAATGAGCCCACAGGTGAAAAAAGGTGGGGACAGCTGGTCTATGAGAAGAATGGGAAACAAATGGAGGAGATAGAAACGTTAAGGAAACCTGATGCTTTAGTACATAATATTCTATATAAATAAATAAATTAAAACATAAATACGTATAATATAATAAAATACATAAATACATCCATAAATTGATAAATATTGATTCGTTAAAATTTAATTAGCAAACAATTTAAAAATAAATTATTATGAAAAAAGAATTTATGCACATTAAGTGATACTAAAACCATTTAATTTCCTCAGTACAGTCATGGTGACTTCAGAACTTCCATGGCAACAGATTTTAGATAAGATTCCACCTTCAGGAAATCAAAAACTATTAATAAGTCAAGTTAAACTTTTCCAATTGCTAGAAAAAGTCATAGACAATCCGACACATAAAAATACTTGATAACAAACAACCAACATACAATTCCCACACTGGTACCTTTTCAGGTAACCACACTTATGAGGAATGTTCTAACTCAATTTCTTATTATTCACAATTTATTATGTGTTATGCCCATTGTCCTATAGTATGTCCTTAAATAATATTTAACTCACGAAAAATAAATAAATAAAAAGACAGAATAAAAAAGTTGAATATTTTACAGACTAACTAAAAACTATAGAGACAATGGAAAAATGGTTCATTAAAAGAATATAATAAAAGCAGAAAATATTTACCTGAGTGGTCTTGCCAGAGCCAGTTTCACCTGCGATAATTGTGACTTGATTTTCAGCAACTGTTTGTACAATAATATCCTGAAGTGCTGCAACAGGAAGTGATGCTCTGAATTGTGCATAAGCTTTAGTCGTGACTGGAGGTGGAACTTGAGGTGTTCCTCCAGACATGCGGCCCAAAGCACGAGAGCCATCTTTGCCTGTGATACAAAGAAATCATTAAAATACCAATAGATTTGGAATACATTTTTTTAGAAGTTTTCTTTTTATAGCTGGAAATTCGCGAATAGAGCTATTAGTCATGAAAATTAACCAAAAGCCCAAATATAGGTCTGCAATTATTTCAATATTTAGTTTATTGAGATTAGTTATAAGTTTACTTTTTTACGTATAGTGACTACATTACACTGGCAGACTTTAATAGTGAATATACCTTTTTGTTCTTGATTTTATAAGACAATAAACTTAATTTTAAAAATATAATAAATATCAATCATTTTCGGACATACTCTGTCAATTTTGGAATTATATCTATAGTGTACTTAATTACTTATTAAGTAATATTGAGAAAAGAAACAATAACACTGTAAAAATGTCACTCCATCTTCTCCAATGGGATAAGATCTCTTGATTTGTTTACAGTATAAATGAGATTCCAAGAATAACCAAAGATTGACAACCTGTTGGCAGAATAACCTCCATTTATTTAGATCACAACTTAGGGGTTCAGCAAACTCCCTATTAGTCAGTAGAATTTCAGTTGAAATCAGAGCTTAAATTAGATCGCTGTTTTCAAGAAAAATAAACATCCCATGGATCATCTTTTCATTAGAGGTTGGTGCCTTACCAGATCATTCAATCACTTCCGTCTACTTTTAGACACACTCGGCCATTATCAGGATTCCATTTATGTTGTTCAAATGAGATCTTGTGCCATCGATGAAAGTGGAGTGACATTTGTACAGTAGTACCAAACTAATAAATAGCACAAAAATTACAGAATGAATGGAAAAGGTAGATTTAACTCAGAAACAAAACATATCTCAAAAATCTAAGTTAGTTAACATTAAGAATCAGTTAAAGGTTTTACTTAATAAAAATATTATCAACTACTCTGTGAGGTATAGCATTAATTTTGTATAAGGAACATTTCAAATTAAAGAAATTAATGTTACCATCTTGGTACAAATCCTTGCATCGCTCAACTGGTGGTAAACAGTCTTGCCTTTCCCTAGTAGTTACAGGATGTTTAGTTAGCATACTCATCATCAATGTTCTTGAAGCTGGAGTTAAGCTCATTGTAGCATCTTTCTCCATGATAGCGGAGGCTTCCCTTTTGTAAATTGTAAGGTAGCGACTGCTCCCCTTACTAAAAGCATTCAAATTTAAGTATTATGAAATAAGAAAATTTAACTCAATGCAAATATAAATCAACCAACCCTCTACTTTTGGATTTCAAGCCATATTTTTTAGCCTCATTATGAATATATGCTCTTTCCTTGGCTGTAAAAGAGCTAGGGTACTCCCATTCTGAAAAATTAAAAGTAGTAAAAATTAAAATATTTTAATTAAAAATTAAAAGTAGGTAAAATTTTTTCAATAAACTTTAGAAAAACAAAAAAAAATGTCTAAATTTACCTTTCAATTCTTCGGAGTTCAAAAATTTTTTAATAGTAACTTCAACACAAATTTTAACAGCTTCGCCTACATTTATAGGCTGTTGATTCATCTTTTTTTTCCTGGACATTTTAATTGACACACTTTCGTCGGCTTGAACTTAGATATCTACTTCTACGAGGAGGTTACTGTGTTTAAAGGTTGTGAGGTTGTGGACATTTTTAAACTGAATGTTTGTTTCAACTTAGCAATCGATTTATATTTTCAGATTGCAATTTCCTTTTAATATTTAATATTGAAGCTTTTAAATAAATGTAAACCTGGAAAATGTTACTGTAATTTAAATCTGAATAAAAATGTTTTACGTATGTATATATATGTAACGAAAAATAAAAGATTGTTTAATTTTTTTTTTTTTAGTTATACTGTTGAGCCCATAAATTTTGAGAATATAATGAAGAAAGATTCAACAAATTCATTACGAAGAAATGTATAATAAACTTCAGCTTTTAGTTTAAAATTATAATCTCCTTACGTTATTTTGAATTTCTGTCATGATTAATAACATTGTTGTTGACTCCCTCTCCCCCCCTTTCAATAAAGAACAGTTACATTTCAATTATTAAATTATTTTTTTCAGATGAATTATGTCTAAAATCATATTATATATTATGTTTATAAAAAATAAATTATGAATAAGGTCAACAGTATGGTTTAATTATTTAACGCAATAAGGCTTGAAAAGGGCCCCTAACACAATCCAATAATTGATTTTAACTCTTCAGTAAAAAGGTTTAAACATTAAAATTTCAGACTATAAAATACTATTTTTGTCCAAAATAATAGTTTGCAGGGATAGAGTGATTTTTAGCAAATTTCCTGGAAGTTGTAGGTTTCTAGAACCTTCTACAGATCATCAATGTTTAAATCTCCAAGATTAAACCTAATACCATCCTTCTGTTTATCTCTTGTTCTACTCCTCAGTACATTCCAGATTTTTTTCATTCCTTAATCATTCTTCATCTAACTAAAAAAAAAAATCACTGCCCATTTTCATATTCATCATTCCATTACTTAAATAGTATTTTAAAGTTGTTATTCAATCAATTTCAAGTTTGTATATCTATGAATTCTCCAGTGCTATTTTCGAGGGGAAGGAGCAATAGAGAGAGAAACACTTTATTTTCATAAAATATAAAATATAAAGGATTGCTGCCCAATTATATTGGATTGCTATATACACAGCATACTCTTCTGTCCTTAGGACAATATATGAACTTTTATATAAATATACAGAAGTATTAGTTAAAAAATATTTGATTTTTAAAAGGAATTATACTTAAGTTAACTTAAAGAATTTGTTCTTCACTGACTAACTATTTATCTTTTTTATTACCCTAAACTTACAAATTATAATGCTGAATAGAATTGTAGTTTTTTTTTTTAGTTTAGTTTATAACCAATAAACTGTAATTTTATGTTTTATTTTTTTCCCTATATTCAGTCAATAGTTTATCACTTTGAACTGAATTCTAACTTATGGCAACAATTAATTTTTGCAGATTATTATCTTATTTCATTATTTAAAGTGCAATGCTATTAGTAAATGAAATCATTCCCCCTCTCCTAGCAATTACAATATCTCATCGGTTTTTTTAATTTGAATCTATATAGATTCTTTCCATTGTTCAGACTTTTTTTTTTCATTACAAGTAGATGTATTTCAGAAATTCTAGCAGCAATATTTCGCTAATGTTACTTTTCCACAAAAATAAATCCTTAGTTAATTATTATTAATTCCGAGTATGATTGTTCATGCAATCAAAAATGTCAACACACCGAAACAGTAATAAATTTATTGTTTGCTTTGAACATGAATCTCTCCTGTAATTCACACTTTGTTGGTTATATCAATTGTTAAATTTACATAGATTTTCTAAATTAAAAAAAAATTGAAACATTTCAATATGTTTCTGTATTAAGTGTTTCAGAATAATGTTGTTGTTGTTGTTTTTTATTACCTTATTTTATATTTAAACCATAAAAAATTTAGTAGAAACTATTTTTCATATTATCGCTAACGTCAATTCATTTTTTGAGAAATAGTTAATATAAAAAAGAAATATGTTGTTTTAGTGGATCCTAAAAGAATTTAGAACCAAATTTCATCAAGGATGCTGGGCAATTACTTCCAAAAATCCTGAAGTAAACAAAAAATTAATCTATATGACTATTATCAGTCCTAATTTAAATTACACTACTCATCAATAAAAGTAACTAAATCATAAAATTCTTCTCATATCCTAAAATACTGTTTATAATTTTTTTAAACCTATATGACTATAACAAAACCAAAAACTAAACACTTTTAGTGATTTTGGAACTGTGTATTATTATTATTATTATATATATATATATATATATATATATATATATATATATATATATATATATATATATATATATATATATATATATATATATATACTGTATAAATTAAATCACTGTCAACTTTGATGATTTCTTTCTCTACTGAACCAGAACATTATGCCAATTAGTGTTACTATAATTGATATGAAAAAAGATTTCTGTCATTTTCATACACTTACTGTGTTTTAGTATTGATAAATAATCTCAAAATTCACATAAATATACTTATAATAGCTCCATCAAAAGTGTACTTATTGACTTTTTGTTATTAACCAATGATGTAAATATAGTTACTTCAAAATAAGATAAAAAAAATTTCATTGGTGTTTAATTAGCATATAAAACTGGTTTTTAATTATTGCTTAAGAGAAATGGAATTAAACACTATTTATACTTTCAATAGCTATTTAATAATATATGAAGAAAATTTGTCAATAGATTTTTTCAAATGTCATAGACTTCTACTCCTTTTAAAATAGTCAATTTATTGCTTTTGTCAGTGAAAATCAAAATAATTTAGGAATGAAAACTTTTCATTAATTTTCTAATTATCTTCAGAAACAGCTTTTCCTCCCCCCAAAGGTATATGTTTTTAAAAAATTAAAATTTTTATATATTAATAAACGATTTTGGTCTTCATAGTTTTATAGATTATGATTGTACATTAATGTACAGTTATTTTGACTGAAATATCAAACAATGGGATCAACAAGATAGATTGAAAAAACAGACAACAGAGTGCGTTGCTTATCAAACGTGAAAAAAATCGATGTATATCGAGTTTAATTCGGGATAAAGATTAAGAATCGAGATAACAGATCGATAGTGAATCATATCCTTATCTTTACAACATAGCAATGTCAACACTAGCGCAACAGTTGGAATTGCTCCTGATTGCAAACATGGCCCTCTGGCTTGATAACTCATTGACAGGTGTTCATTCTCCTCTTGATAAATTCAAGGTTAGATTGGATCAATTATAGTTGAGATAGCTGAAGAAATATCTCAACACACTTGCCTGTAACTATCAACAATTTTTTTATTATTAATTTAAAAAAAAAATTATTTTTATCATTTTTCTTTCAATATTGTATCTTTCTTCAGTAATTTTACTATGGCAGCCTTTATATTTTGCCTTTTATCAAGATGACAAAAGAAGAAACAGGATCTGGTCATGGTTCGGAACCTGGTTCTCTGGACTCTGAGTACGATGATGGACTGGCGATTTCAGATATTGATGTCCCATCTCCTGTTACCTCCCCTGCGGAACAACGGAAGAATCTTGATACAATTTACAATTTCAGGTAGAATCTCTTCTTCCTAATATAATATTTATCTGTGTTTCTCTACTGATTTTCCTTGATTTATTTTACAGATTAATCCACAAAGAACCTGTAAAATTCAAATCACCTCAAAGACGGGTTTTCAACTCCGATCACGAGATATATTTAGATATCGTAGATTATGAAAGAAGTGTTACAACTCATATTATATACCCGAATTTGTAGGTAGTTTTTATAATATTTCATCGAAATTTCTCATCATTTATTAAATATTGTGATTGTGCTATTTGTCTTTCAGGTATACAATACAGTTGCGATATGGAGAGTTCATGTGGACTGTTAAAAAGCGGTACAGCCAAATTTATCAGCTGCACCAGCAACTTAGACTGTTCAGGTCACTGATTTTTTTAAATTTGTATGATGTACCCCTTTATTGGTATGTCTTTTATTTTTAATAATAATCCTAGTACTATTTATCATCAGAGCTTCATTGAAAATCCCTCTGCCTACTAAAGCACACAGAGAAAGGAGAAGTAGTTTTAAACAAGAAGCTAGCAGAAATAAACATTCAAACAAAAAAATGCCCAGGTATAGCATAATTTGGTTTTCTGATGTAAATAAATTTCAATTGTTCATTATGTCAAGATAATTACTTCCATTTCAAGTTAATAATTAACCTATTTATTTATTTTTTCAAATTACTGTTAGATTTCCTTCAAAGCCTGAAGCTCTCATTCCAATAGAACAGTTGCCGACCAGAATGCAACAGCTTGAAGATTATTTAAGAAGCTTACTGAAGATAAAAATTTATAGGAACCACCATGAATTGGTATGTATTCTTTTTAGGATTTTTTTTTTTTTTTGTTAAAATAAAAAGAAATATTTTATTCTTCTATTTACATTTCCTAGGCAAATTTCTTTGAAGTGAGTCATCTCTCATTTATTTATGAATTGGGTGACAAAGGTAAAGAAGGAATGGTGCAAAAAAGGACACAACGAACAGCTTCAGGAAGCAGTGCTTGGAATATCTGTGGCTGTTTGAATCAAAACCTCTGCGTTAGGTGATACTTCTGTTCTATCTATTTATTTGTTATTTAAATGTATTTTAATTATTAGATAATTTGAAAAAAATCAAATATTTCTTCTTTATTTACCAAGGTAAATTTCATGTAACAGTTAAATTTATTTTTTTAAATAATTTAATATTTCATCTTTAGATGCAATTTTGTGTGTGCTGATTTATGTGGGTCATGGCGAACAAGATGGCTAGTTGTTAAAGACAATTTCATTGTGTATACTCAACCATCATCAGGAAGAATAAAATGTGTTCTTTTATTTGATTCCGCTTTTGAAGTATCCTGCGGAATATTTCCAACTAATGTTCTTCTTATTACTAATCTCTCTAGGTAGGTAATTATTGTTTTATTTTATTTTTATTAGATGTTTTATTGTATCAATTACAAAATTATAATAAGTTTATTGATCTTTTTCCAATAGCTTTATTGGTAATTGGCTCTGAATTTTTAAGGTAAATAATCTATCTAATTCTGTGTTTTACTTTTTCTGTTATTTTTATTGATTTTTTTTTTACATCTATTGATATTTATTATATTGCATGACTAATTAACATTGATAAAAACAAATATATTAGATTTCATTCTTAAATGTTTCTATTCTTGTGGTAGATTTGATTGCTTAGTAACTAATACCAGTATATGTATATTCTTAATAATTATTATATTTAAATAAAAATTATTTAAGTATATAACAATGAATTGGATTTGTACTTGACTTAAATTTTTGATATACCTTAAATGGAATTTATGATTGTCCTGAAGTTCTACCATCATTTACTCTCTTGTTATATCTTTGACCTACCTCTTTACCTCCTTTTCCACGGTTCCTCTCATCATTTTTCTTTAATTTCCTACCCCTCTCCGACCATAGGGCTACAATTCCAGACTGTCGACTTATATTGGTGTTTTATTTCCTCAGGATGTGCCTTAGTTATCTCTGTTTTCTAAACTTTATTTTCTTGTTGACTGGTTGTTATTTGGTTAATTTAAATAATATTTCTGACCTAACACCTTTTAGCTTAAGACGACAACTTTTTTGTCACCTGTTTGATGACTTTTCATGTCTTCCATACATACAAAAGTACCTACAGACTTTAGAATACTCTTAAAGAATATACTGTGATATTATCAATTTTGAAATTTTAATATATTAAATTTGTATCACATGAAAATTGACACGAAAAATCGTCTTTTGTATATTACAGAAAATAATTAATTCTTTGCATGTAACCAGATTTAGATTTATTTAGCATGCAATGATTTAAAATCAACAGTTCGGGTGGAGTTTTTTTTTATTAATTCAGCTAATGAAGTTATTATTTAATTATGAAGCTCTTTTATTTCTAAATAAATTAAATTCTAATGTTTACCAAATAGTTACTTAAGTGTGTAATGAATTAGGTTTAAACTGAAGATTATTATTTCATTTAAATTGAATAGTAAAAAATTTAATTAAAAGACATGTTCATGAGTTGTTTTTAGTTTAATTATTTAAATTTCAATTATGATTAGTTTAATTAATTTTTTTAAGGCAAATTGTGATTAAGTGCCCAACTAGGAGAACAGCTCGTGATTGGCAAAATTATATTAGAGAAAAATTGAGAAATGAAGGTATGTAAATCTTTCTTATTTTTTATGCTTTTTGTTTGTTTACTGTTTTTTTTTTTAAATTACCGAATGTTAAGAAATTTCTTATCCAAGGATCATTCAAGTTCACAGTAGGCCCCATCCCACTCAATATTTCATGTTTTTTGTGTGTTTTTGTCAATACAATTTTTTTCTTTTTATAAAATTACTCTATAGTAATAGTGTAATTTATTAGTAATTACTTAATTAATGTATTCATAATCACACTAGTAGAATTTAGAATAATTTTTATTTACAACAAAATTTATTTGTGACGTACTTCTTGCCTAGTTTTCTGCGAACGTTTGAATTATTCTAGTAAAAATTCTATGTTTTTGCAAGCTTAGACTTAATACAAATTATTTTTTGTTCTGTTAAAATAGCAAACAACATTCATATTTATAAGTTATGCTTTAACGATAGAGTATGCTTAAAATATGTGATATAATTTATTAGCTTATTGTTGTATATCATAATTCACAATAAACTAATTTTTTTTAAATTATTTGGATGATAAATTTTTAAAACTATCAGAATGTGTGATCGCTGTTAGAAAGTAATATCAAGTATTCAAATGTTGCTACTCTGAGTCACCATCAGAATTGGTACAATAAGTGGAAGTTCGCTGAATGCCTGTGCTATTTCCTGAATGGATTAACTGAATGAACTATTTTTCTGATTATATCTAGTATTCCATTGCAGTATATTGTCTTAGGTTAATGTAATTTTATTCTTTATTTCTTTCTTAATACGATAATAGCCAATATTGACAACAATAAGTATTATGGTAATGGGTTAATAATTATCTCTTACATTCTGTAAGTTTTATGATTACTCAGCAGCCTTAATATAAGGTTTAGTCATGTGAACACATTTTAAAAAAATTAATGAACAAACATTTTTATTAAGACAAAGTACTTTAATAATTTTTAAGTTCATCTCATATCTTTTAATATATCTTTCTATTCAATTTTTCTTAAACAAAAAAAAAAAATAAAAAAAAAGCTAATCAATTTTTTTTTTTTTTATAACCCTGTTACTATGACTGTTTATTTATAAACAGAATTCTCCTTAAATGACTCAATCTGCTTATGTAACCTTGACAATTATAATAATAATTATAGTATAAACATTTTTTATCAAGGATTAAGCTTTTCTATCATTAATAGACTAATATTTAGGTATATAATTAAATAAAATATTATTTGTTAAAATATTGATGAAAATAGAACAATGGAAAGTGATAAAAAATGACTATAAGATATATAAATATAGTATTACATTATATTATAAATATATAATGTAAGATATAGTTTAAAAAATATATATATTATAACATCATTGTAATTAATAAAGTTATACTAAATATTAAGCGTAGTTGTTTATATTTTAGTTATGTTCAATTTCAAATGATCCTATATTCATCTATGCTCAGATTTCTTGGAGCAAATGTGGCATTAAGTCCACAAAATAAAAAATAATAAGTGCTTAACAATTGTCTATTTTAAGATAAAAGTTATTAGGGATGAAAGAATTATGGTTACTTCCAGGTAATTTGAAAATCCCAGGTATTAAATGAAAGTTGATGAACCCCTATCCTTTAAGAATAATAAGAAAAGGTTATTGTTAATTGACTTACTATAAGAACAAATAATGATATAACAATTTTTAAACTAAAGTTTCTACAAACATGGTATTTTTAAACTATTTAAAGAAAACTTACAGAAGTAAACAATATTTTTAGTTCTTTCTTTCTGTTATATATTTGTTTTCTCTGCAACCTGATCCTGATAAGGCAAGATTCATTCATGAGAAAAAGTCATTTCCTTATTCATCCTTTACTGCCTTATTCATTCATAAGGCAAAAGTTATTTATAGGCAAAACAGTCGTCCCTTAATGTACTAGTTCTCATGGTCAATATAATCGAATAAACAAATTGTTTTAGTAAATCTGTTTTTGTTTAGATTAAATGCAATTTTTAAGCTGGTAAGTAATTTATAAAAGTGATAATTTTAGTTGTAATTAGGATGGCACCTACAGGTGTCTTTGGGTTCTTTGTTCAGACACAGACAGATTTTTGGCTTTGTAAACATATTGAAATGCATAAAACATTTTTCAAACATCAAAATCACTCCTCATGCATCAATAAACAACATAATTATAATTTTGACTAATTATTATCTGTCCATTTTTAGAAAAAATAATTACTGATCAAGTTATGAGTGAAAATATAAAATTAAGTAATCACAAAAATTATAGTTTTAAATAGTACCAAATGAAAAATTAAATATTAACCCAACATAACATAGAGAGAGGGTTAGATTTATGATAAATGTGTGTGAAAAATAAGCAAATCACTATGATTCATACGAAATCAAAAATATCAACCTGGAGGAAGGGGCTTCTGGTTTCTTGTATTAATTATTTTATGCAATCATACACTAAAAGAATTATTGGTGTATTTTGTTTTTCCGATTCTATAAAAACAACTAAGCTTTAGTAGTTGTTATTCAGTATATAATTATTAAATCTTTCAGGAGCTGATTTTTCACAGAGAAGCAGGTACATGTCCTTTGTTCCTCCGAGATCAAATGTCTTCGGCTGTTGGCTCACCGACGGTTGCTCCTACATGTCTGCAGTAGCTTCAGCTCTGGAACAAGCGAAACAAGAAATCTACATCGCTGATTGGTGGCTGTCTCCAGAGATACAGTTAAGAAGGCCACCTAATGGAGAAACCTACAGGCTTGATAGGATTCTACAAAAAAAAGCTGTAAGTTCTAGTTAATTTTATTTATAAAACATTGTAAAGAAAAGTGATTTTACTTTTGGGCTAATTGGTCATTCTTTAAGAAAACTATTTTGTCATTTCATGCTTGAACTAAGCCAGAAAATTAATTAAAATGAGAGAGAATCATTTTATATTCATAAAAGGGTGCTGCCCAATTATATTAGGTTGCTACCGACACAGCATACGTATCAATCAATATAATGAACAATCCTTAAAACTAATATACAGTATCATCAATATATGTGAGCGTAAACTTTCTTTTTATTAACATTCTGTTTCCATTTCTTTCCCTTTTCTTTCCTTATACATTTCTCTTTCTCAATTTCTGATGACAAATTATACAATAATGACAAGAAAAAAAAAGTGTACATAAAATAAAAAACTAAATATAATTAATATATACAAATACATTTTTTTTTTTTGTTCTTCCCTACCTCGCTTTATAGGCTATACGGGATTTTCCTGGGCCGGGAAATTTAAAATCCCCTCCGGCACCGGGACGCGAACTCGTACTTTTTAATCATCTCAAATCTTTGTTCTCCGGTTGCCAGGCAACTAGCGGTGCTGTGCACACGCTTTAGCCCATTCGGCCACCCCGCTCCCAAATATACAAATACAGTAGACGTGTTCAATAAATAATATAAAAATGTTGTAATATATGCATTTTCCATCACCATGAACAAACTCTCCCTCCTTACATGCTTCCATGCACATAGTGGTGGATGATTCCGAGGATGTCAAGGATTGTTTCCTGCTATATAAAAAGAAGAAAGAGGTATGATCTTTTATCTTGTTTTAAAATATCAAATTTTTTAAATGAGTAAAAAAAATGAAGAAACTCAGCTCAGGAGTTTATTTTATAATCTATCATTTATCATTTATATAATAAATTTTGTATAAATTCAGTTTAAGAGAAACATTAATATTTAATATTTTACGTGAAAATAATATACTTTTATTCTGCATTGAAGCTTATCAGAAGTGGGTGAGGGCTAAATTTTATATCAGATTTAAAACTCTTAGAACAAGATTATGGAGATTTCAGAGATATCCGATTATATATTTTTAGATAAGACTTTTTTTGTTTACTGTTTTTCACATATTTTAAGTCTTTATCCACCTTTTTAAACTCAAAATTGAGGAGGGTTGATTTGGATTTCCAACTTTTTTCTCCTATCACTTTCACTTGAATAAATTAAATTTGAAAATAAATTTATAAAAGGTTCAACGTTTAATGTTTCTCTTGTTTTGTTAAACTTGAGGAATTAATTCACCAGTTCAATTGATTTTAAAATTTTGTTCGGTTTACTTCAGTAGCATTTGTCAAAAAGATTTTCTTATGGTTTCTGATCAAAAATGAGGAAAAATGTGACTGTAGTGCTGATGCTCAGGTTTTTGAGGTAGCCATTAGTAAAGATCCAACATCCTTAGCTGGCCAAGCCTGGTTTGCATACTGGGTTTAGCATGGTGAATTATTAATATATATTTATTTGTATTCAGTATAATATCCTTTAAAGATAAAATAAATTTATGCTGAATGAATTAAATCAATCTGTGACAAAATATCCCTTTAAAAAATAAGCCAATATCAATAAGTAGAGGTGTGCTTATGGCATAAAAGTTCCTCAAACTTTGATGCTGAATGAACTTAAATGGCCATACCACTACTTCCTTATTTCAGGAGCTACTCAGTTCTTCTTTTAATCTATATAACCTTTTAACAAGTTCTGGGAATCAACTACTTCACAATTAGTACCATGAGGTGCTGACCACTAAGCCTTAAGAACGGTTATAGCTGATAATGAAAGTTTATCAATGTTCTGTGGCTAACCAGTTCATTATCAAATTTATATTTTGATATGTAACTACCTACCTATGGAACAATGGGAATTCATCAATCTTTTTTGTTATTCTTACCCAACCTGCAACTTTTTTAGTCCAAAAAAATAGTTTAAAAAAAATGAACCTATCTTAAACTTCTGCACAATTTTCACAGAAATTTGTGGAAATGTAATGATTAGTTAAAAGTCATGAGGAATCTAAAGAGTTTTTAGAAAAAAAGTTTCATTTTGTCCAAATCCAGACATAATTAGATGAAATTTACCAAAAAAAATTTTTGAATATAGTAGAAATATAATTCAATAAAGTTTTAAAATTAATATAAATTTAAATATCTGAAAACTTCTATTCAAAAAACCATCTATTCAATTTCTGTTTGATAAATTCACATTCCATTGAACTGTAGCCATGTCATCTTTAGTGTAGACGATTCTTGTATAAGGATTTCAAGTCATTGTATTCATATATTTTACACAATTTTATAAGTATTATATTTGTTGATATAATGAGAACTTAAAAAAAAAATAGGGATGAGAGGATTTTAAATATTCTGAGTTTATGATAATTACAACACGAGTATAAAAAAAAGAAAAGAAATTCTGCAATCAACTGATAGCTTGTTATTTTTATTTATTCACTTGTCATGATGAAAACTTATTCTCAAAAGAAAATAAACTATGATTTTTTTTAAACAATTAAAAATTAAAAAAAAAATTAATAATCTTTTATGTATGAAGAATGATTTTTGGTATGTTTTTTGTGTAACATAGATTTTAAAAATTTTCAGGATGAAGGTGTTAAAATATTTATCCTATTGTACAAAGAAGTGGAAATGGCTTTGGGAATTAATAGTTTTTATAGCAAACAACGGCTTATATCTGAATGTCGCAAACCAGAGAATTTGAAGGTAAAACTATCAATTAGACTTCATTGAACTATTTATTATTCTAATTGATTACATACAATAGTTTCTTCTTAATAGTTCCTAGTTCTTTAGTAACAACATTTAAAAAGTAATAACTTATTTTAACTTAGTCGTTCTTTCTTAATCTCCAATCTCTGATTCGATTCTGCTTTACTTTTGGTTTAAAAAAATAATTAAATTATATAGTTTTCACAAATTATTATCGTTTCACGAGGCTCTTCAATTTCAGTCATCTCATGGCACTGTTAAGAATGATTTTGAAAAAGATCCTAGGCTTTCAAATATAAGTAGACTGTTTTAAAAAAATAAACATGCAATGCTGTACTCAGACCCTTTGCTTACTATTGGAATGTTCCAAAACACCAATAAATGTGTATCTCTCCTTCTAGTTTCTTGTGCTACTTGATGATCTCTCCTCAGACCATAGTCCCCTAATCCTAACGGTTTCCACATCACCAATTCCCAAACCACCTCCACCTTCATTTATCAGGGGGCCAGTTAATTGGAACCTCTTCCGTCAAATGCTGGATGATAATATTGACCTCAGAGTTTCCTTAAAAACACCTACAGACCTAGATGAAGCAGTACATTCCATGACTACGTTGATCCAACAAGCAGTTTGGACTGCATCTTCACCTGATCCTTCTAAAAAATACCGCAAAACAAATCCTCTACCCCAAGACCTACTGGACCTTATTAATAGAAAACGATGCTCTAGGGCTATCTGGCAAAGAACCAGGCATCCTGATGATCGGAAATCATATAACTATTATTCCAAGCAAGTAAAACAAAAACTGGCCACGTTTAGATCCCAATCCTATAATTCCTATCTTTCCTCACTATCTGCAAGTGATAACTCCATCTGGAATGTAACTAAAAAAATCCTTAAATTCCAATCCATTTCCCACCCCCTCCGCCGTGATGATGGTTCCTGGGCTTCGTCAGATGAGAATAGAGCAGAAGAGTTTGCTAAACATCTATCGTACACATTCACTCCTCATCCTGAACTCCATCCCTCCCATACTGCTGAAGTTAAAGAGTTCCTCTCTTCACCGATTCCTCTCTCCTTACCTCCTACAGCCGTCAACCCCTCTGAGGTCAAATTCCTTTTAAAGAACCTAAAACCTCGCAAATCTCCAGGACACGATCTCCTTACTTCCCAGATCCTCAGACAACTTCCCAAAAAAGCAATTATATTCCTTACATACCTATTCAACTGTATCCTCCGCACAACCCACTTTCCTCTGGTGTGGAAACACTCCATAATTATCCTCTTTCCTAAACCAGGTAAACCTGTTAATTATACATCATCCTATAGACCGATAAGCCTACTTCCGATCCTTTCCAAAATCTTTGAGAAAATCCTTCTCAAACGCATCCTACCCATACTCGAATCCCACAATATCCCTCCCCATCAGTTTGGATTCCGCTCAAGACACTCCACTGTCCAACAAGGCCTTCGCGTTGTCGACCACATATCCTCTGCACTTGAAAACAAGCAATATTGCACTGGTGCCTTTCTGGACGTAGCTCAAGCTTTCGACCGGGTGTGGCACGATGGCTTGCTTTTCAAACTCAAAACCCATTTACCTCAACCCTTGTACCTAGTCCTCAAATCCTACCTTTCAAATCGCTCCTTTCAAGTCCGCTGCGGCACTGAACTCTCCAAACATTATCCAATTGAGGCTGGTGTCCCACAAGGCAGTGTCTTGGGCCCAGTTCTCTACATCCTTTTCACCGCTGACATCCCTTCAAGTCCTGATACCTTCCTAGCAACATTTGCTGATGATACTGCTATCCTATCCTCTCACTCGGATCCTCTAATAGCGTCTCAGAACCTGCAAAGACACCTTTCCTTCATTGAGCAGTGGTGCAACAACTGGCGCATCAAAATTAATGAATCAAAATGCAAGCATGTAACTTTCACTCTTCGACGCAGATCCTGTCCACCAATCCTTTTTAATTCAATTCCTCTTCCCTACTCAGACACAGTCCGATACCTTGGCTTCCTTTTGGACAAAAGACTGACTTGGAACCCACATACCAGACTTAAAAGACAAGAGCTTAACCGACGATTTGGTCAGCTATATAGACTACTAAACAGAAGATCTCATCTCTCAACAGAAAACAAATTATTAATCTACAAGACCATACTGAAACCTATCTGGACCTACGGACTTGAACTGTGGGGGACAACTAAATCATCGAATATCAAACGCATCCAATCCTTCCAGTCCAAAGTCCTTCGAACAATAGTCAATGCTCCATATTATGTCACGAACAAGACCCTACACCATGACCTTAACATCCCATATGTCCATGACATCATCCCATCCAGATTCTCCAACTTTCACCAGAACCTCATTCATCATCCCAATCCTCTAGCGCAATCCCTATCCAGCTCCGAACATCCATACCATCCCCCTCGAAGGTTGAAACGGCAGTGGCCTCGAGATCTTTTGTAAATATGCCTTTGGAGTCCTGGCAATGGCCAGCTTCTCCACTCATGTCCTGAGCGTCTGTGGCTGTAGTGCCCTCTTTCAGTCTCCATTGGCTTCTAATACTAGTGATGCGGCTGGAAAAGTGGCGCTGGGATCTCCCGGAGTCTTGCTTCGCCTTCCACGTATGGGGGAAAAAGCCTGGCTCGGAGATTCTTGGGCGAATGTATATATTGTATATAGGTATGATTGTGTTTAGAAATTTTTATTTTTATTTAACTTCTTCACCAGTATTATTTATTTACTTATTATATTTATATTTATTTCTTTATTATTTGTATATATTGTATGAATGAGAACTTGTAGCCCTAATGCTTATAGCCCTCCAGCAGTGGCTGATTGTATTATTATTCAATAAACAGATTAAAAAAAAAAAAAAAAAAAAGTTTCTTGTGCTAGCCCATAGATAGCAGAAACGTTCAATGGGTTTTTCTTAATTTACTTGAAAATTGGAATTTCATTGTGATTTATTATTGGATGAAATTCTCCTCACAGAAATAAAAAAAAAATCATGTAACACTATATATAACCCATGAAGGGTCCTAGTTTCAGTAATTTGTAAGAAGTATTGGTTCAAGGTTAATGGTTGTGCTGGACGTTAATTGGGCTGAGATCATGTTCAACAGCCATGTTTTCCTCTTAACAAATTATTTAATTAAGTGTTCCTATTATATAAAGAGGCTGAGCGGTCCAAGAAGGATCTCGATTCCAGCTTCAATCTCTGGCTGATGTAACAGAATAAATAACTACCTGCTACGGCTGGACTTGAACTTATGACTTTCAGAATATGAGCCCAGTGCCTTACTCAGCCATTCTGCTCCCATTCACCTTAAACACTGAGATTAGAATTTCCGTTTTGGACTACCTATCTGATTACCTTTTCCTTATACGCGGTGACTTTTTTTGTCCTCTTATAATCATGAGTAGTTCTCAAAAATGATACTTTCAGTTGCACGAAGTAGTGAAGAGGAAAAGTTGCTGTTGTGTCTAGGTCATTCAAAAGATGACCTGCAGCATTGCTTTTAAAAATAAAAAGTTCAGGGTGGTGGAGAAATTGAGACATTGATTGACGGTAATAAAATTTCAAATATAAAAAATAATTTAGGAAAATTAAATAAATTCAGTTATCTGGATTTCTGGGAAAACCTCTTATTGCTAAGTCTTTTTTGTGCTATATCTTTCCATAGTTCATATGTTTCAAAGTTATTTTGGTATTAATAGATGTTTATAGAACCTATAGTTTATATGTTTATAGATCCTTCGTCACCCAGACCATGCTAAGGCTGGAGTTTTCTTTTGGGCTCATCATGAGAAATTGGTGGTTGTTGATCAGACAATAGCTTTCTTGGGTGGAATTGATCTTTGCTACGGGAGATGGGATGATCATCACCATAGGTATGTATATTTTTTTGTCACAAAACAAATTTCTCAGAACATTTTACAATTTTATCAAATAAATTTATATAAACATTGATTTGAAATCAAATTTCATCTAAAAAGTTCATTTGAAAGTCAGAAAGAAATTTACATATCAGATTATTTAATATTGTTTCCTTCAAAATACTCAATCTAAGACACTGTACACTTGTGTCATTGGTTCTACGAGTCACTTGAGTATTCACATGCTCGTTCATACTTGTCTATTTTCCATGCGCCTTCAGCTTGAAGCTTTCTCTTGTTGAAAAGGATCAAATTTCTTGTGAAACTAGGTAACAACAGGCACAAAATTCTAAGTTGTTTCTTCAATTCGTAGGAATTAGTGATATGGGCTATGGATCTAGAAATTGGCTTTATTTCATTAGTATGAATTATAGTCTCAAAACTAAATCACAGTTCAAATGATGTTTGTTAATACAAGAAAAAATTTGGTTTGCCACTATAATTTGAAGATTTAGAACTTCCCTACAGTAAAAATATTTCTAAGCAGGCTCCAGCTTCTGGTTCTAAAAACCTTCTATCAACACTTTTTTTTTCCGATCACCCCCTCTACCTCCCCATTTCTGGGATATGAGGGGTTTGTTGTAGAGGTACAACTATAGACGCAAGAAGGGCGATAACCCCTCCTCCAATAAAAATGTAAGGGGGCGAGAATATTGTTTCCTCCTCCCCAATAATTTGAGGTAAAAAATTTAAAATCATTAATAAATAAGTTGCATGAATGAATACAATTTGTAATTTAAAATCGATTAAGAAAAGTCAACTAGCTGGCTAGGCTATCATCTCCAAATTTTCACATGATATGCTTATCACATTTTCTGCGACCAACTAGTTGAACTGTGAAGAACTTTTTATTTTTATTTGTACACATTAAAATATCAAAAATATTTTTCATAATTGTGGGTTGATGGTTGACTGTAGTGAATAATGAAGAGAGGGATAGTTGGGGTGATCAGTCAAAGTAAAAATGGCAAAAATAAATAATAATATTTATTTTAACATTTGCTGACGTTTCGACCAGAAGTTCAGGCCTTCATCAGGGCTGAGAAAAGAACCAGATAACAATTGGTATGAGAAACATAAACAATGTAGGTAAAAAAACTTAAAGTAAAACCAAGTAGATAAGTGAACATTAAAGTAAAATAAAGTAGGTAGAATGATGGTTGTTTGTTAGACAATAACAAGAACTAAGAAATTAATAATAACGGTTACGAAGTGTGGACTAATGAAGTATACATAATCAAAATAAGGTAACATAAGTACTAAAATGGTAATCTTAGAATAAAATGTAAAACAGAGAAAAGGAATATGAAGTTATATAAGAAATAAATATAAATAGTAAAGTTGAGATACTAAATAGAATAGTTAAATAGAAAATTGAGATATTGTAAAGTCTACCTAAATGTACTGACTACATATAAGGGAATAAAGAGTTAAAATAAAGTAAAAAATAAATGAGCAAATGTATCAATATATACAAAGTGGAGATGGAGATATGGAAAATAGAGGGAAAAGAGAAAATAAGGAGATAAATAACATAAGATAGATTAACTAACCTGATCGAGGAGATTGCTTGGGTAGAATGGAGGTATTGTATCAAAAGAGGGGGAAGCTATAATATATTTTTCCCTTTTTTATATTATTCATTATAGCTGAAAAAGTTTTAGAAATGTATCAATGTTATAAAGGCCGTCTTCCCTCCTTTCCTGCCTTTAATTTAAACAAATACGTTATATATTCAATTGTATTTTTTTTTTTTTGGTATTTTATAAGTATGTGTAGTAAGTAAAACAAACAACCAAAAATCCTTACAACTATAGAAACAGATAAACAAATTAATTTTAAATATTCAATATTATATTGGCTCGGCCCACAATAATTATGTTGAATTTTTAGACATAATAAAAACTACCATTTTTTTTTGGTCCATCACTCTCCACAATCAAAATTAAAAGTTTGCGCCTATGGATACAACCAAAGATTTTCTAACCAGAGTTGGGAAGTCAAGATTCATTCCATGTGTCTGCCACAAAATGAATTTCAACCGGTCCCGACTGGATTCAAACCTGTGCTGCTAGACTTGAAAATGTTAAAAGTGGGGATGCTTGAACATGCTGGAATAGTGAGAAAAGCTTCTCTATTTAATGTTTGTAGAGGATTGAAAAAGTAAATAGTGAGAATTAAATCCACCTGTGTCCTCCCATTTAGTTATTTGGGGTGAGGAGAGTGCACTAGTTTGGTCACAATCATAGAATAGAGATTGGACGATAATTAATGAATGGTTTAATGTTGCAATGGCAAAGACGACCATTTTCTGTTTTAAACTTGTCCTTGTGACTTTCTTTGATAGATTACGTTAAATTCAAATAATTTATTCATTTGATAATATTTACTCTTTCGATTATATACAAAAAAAAAAAAAGAAGTAAAAATAAGAAATTTTTCAGGAAAGTGATTCTACTTCCATCTATGATCCTTGGATAAAACAGGTTTTTGTCGAGGTATGAAAAAAATCTATCTAAACTTTTGTGTGATATCCAGTATTAGCTTAGCTACTGGAATGTTCTCGATATTGATTCTTTCGTTGCACTCAAAACTGTTGTACAACTTTAATATAGTGCATTTAAATTAACCTTTTCACATATTTCTTGATTGATTGCATGGCACATTAAAAAAAAGTTATTATAAATTTGTTTGATTTGGAAGCTTTTACTTCTCAAGTGTTAATTTTATTTATTTTTTTGTAGTCATGCAATTTTATTTTTGTAGTGATTTAAAATGGTCAAGTTTGTTTCTAATATTCTTGTAACTTTTAAACTCCTTTAATCATGATTAATATAGATTTTAGTTTGGTACTTCCATGATGATAAATCATTTTGTAAACATATTATGACAGAGTTCAATTTGTTTAATACAAAAATGTGGTAAAATAGAAGTCTATAACTGTTGAAAGAACAAATTTTATATTGTTTCTTTTAATGGTCAATTTTCTTTTGCTACTGTTTTTAATAAAAGGATCCTTTTTTATTTTATGTTTTATATTTTTGTAATTGAAATTTTGTTTGTTTCTTAGATTAACTGATTTAGGAATTTCACCAGAGGAAAACATGGCGTCTTTTCTTTCACTAGGAATGGCAGCTAGCCTTTTTCCAACATCTGTTACCTCTCTTAAGTAAGAATCAGTTTTCAAATTTTATATTAAGGAGAATTAATCTATAGATTTACTTAATTTTCTATATATGGACTCCTCAACCAATACCCATGCCAATATTTCAAGACTGTACTTCTTTTTCCTTAAAATTAAATGATTGGATCTCGTCAGTGGTGGTTAATAGACCATTTGGGGCCCGAGGCTGAGTAATGTTTGAGTCCCCCTAAAAATTAAAATAAATAAATTTAAAAAATGCATTTGTTAGTAAAATAGCTACACTCCCATCTTAACAAATGCGTGTAATACTTTTGTATTAAGATTATCAGTTAATTAAAAAAAAATCACTAAACCGCTCCCTAGCGGTCCTTATTAGGAATGTCACAATTAAAAGCTAAAATAATATAAAAAAACATAAATAGTGAAATCATTTATTTATTGTGATTTTTTTAAAATGTGTTTCTTGCTCAATATTTTATCTATATAACCTTCTTTCACTATTTGATTGTATATTATACTTTTAATGGCATATTTCAATGTTGTTGTTTTTTTGCATGTAAATCTGGCCTTAGCTATAATTAATTTTCAGTTGTTTGACCATCAAAAGGCTACTGAGTTGAATAGAGTGACGTGTACTATTAGTGAACTGTAGTGTAGCTGAAAAATCATTAATTTCAACAATCGTGTTTTCACTAAATTATTGCTCAATCATTCCATATCAATGATTGCCCATTAACCCTTATGTTCTGAATCAGAATTTCTCTGATAGTTGGTAATCAATCAGATTTTGTAACAACATTTTATATTGATCGTACTTGTAAAATTTTTAATAATTATTTTTTTTAGCTCAAATAGTAATAGAGAATCGCTTTTTGAGGATGTCATGGTTCAACCATCTCCTGAAAATATTAAATGCGACACTCCTGAAATGGGAAGAAAGTCAATGTTTGATACAGTAAGTTTTTTTTTTTATTATTATACCTTTTTTATATTTTCAATATTGAACACCTTTAGAAGTGATCAAGAAAAGTAAATTTTATTCATGGATATTTATTCCCATAAGAATAGTGCTAATGAACAATAGAAATGTCATTTCTCTGCTGTAAACTGACAAAAAATAATTAAATTACTGATTGATGTAGCTTTAGAATTGAAATAAAGGATGAGCCTAAGTAAACAAATAAAATTATGGAAAATTAATAGCACTATGTCTCATATTTGTACTGTTAAGCTATATAGATGTCTATGAACTAACAGTATATAACATAGTGCATAGGTAACTGTATAAACATAATACAGTCTACACATTCTCTCTAAAAATCAGTCTAGTCACGCCTTTTCTCTCAGTTTATTGGGCCGATTGTTTTAAGATTTGGTACCAAAGTTAGAGGTCAACCGAGAATGATCCTTGAAACTCGCTGTTACCATCCACTTTTTCTTTTCAAAAGGGCAGCTGAAAAACGTTTTTTTTTTAGATTAGATTTTAGTGGCAAAATGACTGTAGTGATTTTAATGAAACTTGCTTAAAGTCTTCTCTTTATAGTTTTTTAAAAATTTATTTATACAATGTACTGTATCATAAAAAAGTTAGAATAATAGTAACAATGAATGCAGATCTTCGGGAATAACTCAAAAAGTACACACTATTTGCTAATTATTAAAACTAAATATTTCAAAGGTGATTAAATTTCTCAAAAGGGAGTAAAAGATTCATCAAAATCAGAATAGTATTAGTATGAAAGTATATTTGGTCTATTTTCAATAATGAACCTTTGTGATTGGGGTGAGGATGGTCGAGTAGAATAACTATGAGTTCGTGTCTCGGGCTGGAGAGGCTCTTAACTCTGGTATTAATCCTCTGCTCTATCAAAATCTCTGTATAGCCTAAAAGTTGAGGAAGTGGCTGAAAAAAAAAAGTTTTTAATTACCCAAGAAAAAAAAATCATGCCCCCTCAAAATTTGAGGATTTAAGTAAAATAAAAAAAATAAAAAATCTGTCTATCCTCCATACATCCATGTACGGGGCTTTTCTTCTAGAATACTAGGGCAAGAATTGATAATATCAAGGATCATGACATACCATACAGATTTGATCCATAGCTATGTGTAATAATTTGTTGTAATTTTATTGTTTAGAATAGTTATTAGTTAGTTAATTTGTTAAAATTATAGTTTTAAAATGATCTTATTTTTTCCATTGAAGATGAAATCAAGAATGCATCTGTGGAACTTCAGTTCAGAAGATGATAGCGATGATGAATATAAGCCATCAGTTTCATCAGAACAGAATGAAGATGTTTTTATAAATGAGGAAAGGTTAGCTGAGAATTGTTTTTAAACTGGTTTATTATGCACAACTAAATATGTTATACCAATAATAGTTATGGATACAATTGTCATTAAAGCCAATAACTACATAAAAATAAATATTAATTGTAACGGACTGTATATTATTTTGTTTTTCAATAAATATTAGAGCACTTCAGTAAAAAAAAAAAGAAAGAAAAAAAATCAATCTTTGACAAATACTCTCTGAAATCATTGAAACACTTCAGTGGATTGTTTTCTTTAATATTATGTATCTAAAGAAATATTCTTAATAAGCCATGTCAATATTTATTTTCTATAAAACAATTTTTATAATATTTATTAGTTTTAATTATACTTCTTAATAAAAATAATTATTTGTTTATTAATTTTACTACATGATTTTTAGTAAACTCAAGTCCAACATCTCTTCTTATGGTATTAAGTCAAGCCTTGATGTAAGTTGTTTTGATAAACTTTGGATTGGAAAAGATTACACTAATTTTATTTTGAAAGACTTCCAGAATCTTGACAGGCCTTTTGAAGGTAAATTTTTTATCATTTTATTTATATATTTTAATTTTCATTTACAACAAGCAAGTTTATCCCCAAAACTTACTTACTAGAAGTTGTACTTTATGTCATCAATTTTTTTTTATTTTCTCGAAAATGACTCTAATGGCTTTGTTTCAAATCATTATGTCAATGTAAACTTAAACGTTACTTAAAATCAAAAAGGTTGATTAAAGTAGTTAGACATGGCCTAAATTCCTAATTTTCAAAATTCCTCTGAAGTACCTTTAATTGTGTTTATTTAAAATAACTAACCGTTCTACATTGTAACTAGTAATAAAAAATTATTACATTCATATTGACCATGAAAGAATTTGATAATTAAGTAAAGGAGAAATAAGGGCTGATAAAATAGGACCAACTGTTGCGAGAGGTATATTGCTTCCAAATATAACACGTGCTTAATATACTATATTGCAGGTAAGGAAAGTTCGGGCTGAGCTTCATAAATCTGAATTTTCGAGAGCTTCAATATAACGTTGTTTTGGAGATTTTTCTGTTTTGTAAAATAGCACCGTTTTGTGACTATTATTCTTCTTTCGATTTCTGCACAGATATCATTCATTTTGTTTACTGCTCCAAGGTACATATTCTCCTCAACGTTTTCTATTACTGCCCTTTTATTAATATACTTGTTACCTGACTCAACACTGTGGGATTTGCATTAAGATATTTGGTTTTTCCTGAAGTTTACCAATAAACTTAAAAAGTATCCCCATTTTAGCGGTACCTCTAATGACCTTCCTGCAATGTCAATGTCGCCAAATTGCAATATTAAATCATATAAATTAAGAAAATAAGAAGTAATAGGATATAATAAGATCATTTTAATAATGTTTAAAACTTTTATATTTCTTTAATTAATGTAATGTTATAGATCTAGTTGACAGAAGTAAAACTCCTCGGATGCCATGGCACGATGTTGGAGTCATGGTTCAAGGACCTCCAGCGAGGGACTTAGCTCGCCATTTCATTCAGAGGTGGAATGCAGTCAAGGTAATTATTGTCATTATTGTGAAATTTTAATTGTATTATTAATTTTTGAAGTTTGTTAATTTTCTTCTACGTTTATATAGGCAGAAAAATCAAAGCTAAATCCACAATATCCTTATCTTCTTCCGAAATCCTACAGGAATTTCACAGAGTTCATCATCCCTGGTCTCAAACAAAACAGAATCAATTGCCAGGTAAAAAAAAATTGTCTAATCATTAAATAATTAATGATTTTTTTAATCAATTGCTTTGGATCAAATGATTTATTTTCTCATCTTTTATTGATAGTTTATATGCATTTAATCTTAAATTATAACATTAAACCAATTCTCTAAATTTAAATTGGATAAATATATGGAAAAAAATCAGATAAATTTGAGCTGCAATAGAATTCAAGGGATAAAGAATATATATAATATTGAAATTGTACTTTTCAATTAATTACAAAAAAAGGTTCATATTTAGCAAACAACTTCAAATAAAAGTGTGTTTAAAAGGTATACTGGAGACTGGGGACGTGGCTTGATTATATTAATCATCTCTTAGCCTTTCCTTTATAAACATGCTTGTACGAAAGCTAATAAAATATATTTATATTCAGAGACAACAGAACAGCAACAGAAAAATGGAAAGATATTTCATGGATAGAAGTTTTGAAGCTGGGAACAATATTCTAAACTAAGAGATATAAGATACCCAATGGTATGAGCTAGGCACTGGCATGGCATGGCGTATCCAAGTCTCCACTCTCATGATGTAGCTTTGTCTTCACACCTTTTTCCTTAACACTAATCATCTTTGCAAATATGCATCAATAAAATTCAAAACATTTTGTATTTTTAATGTTGTAACCTAATCTTCACCACCTTTTAAAAATTTTAAATTCTTGCAAGTATTCAATTATATTATTATTATTTGAATTTTACTCATACAAATAGATGCCATGGTAGTCTATCTGATTGAGGCAGCACCTCATTATTCTTTAGTCAGAAGTGATACTAGTTTAAACTGAACTTGTTATGGTTAACTTCTATTTCATGGTGGACTCAGCTGATTTTAATGAAACTTTTTTTCTTAAAAAAAAAATGGACTTAATAAGCAGGGTCCGCTGTCATGCATTGTATTTCTGACAAATGCAGCATCCGTTCTTAAATGCTTAAAAAATTAAAATGGCCATATTGGCAGAGGAGCTGGAAGATCTAAGAGTTCAGTACCAGAGGTGGTTCTACAATGGATTCCTCCGGGGCACTGTGGGGTTGTGGGGAACGAAATCGCAGATCGATTGGCCAATGAAGGAACACCACTCTCCCAAATTAGCAGTCTACCTAAGATGGAGGAGTGCAAAACAATTAAAAAAGCAGCCATAAGCCAAATATTAAAAGCAAGTCACCCAAAGCACAATTCCCATGATGATTATTTCAACTTACCAGAAGAGAACAGGTCTTCATTTTTCGCCTCAGAACTGGACATAACCGTTTGAAATCACACGTCTTCAGAAAGTTCAAGATAGAACCCAGTCCCCTGTGTGAATGTATCCAAAATGAACAAACGATAGAGCACATTCTGCAGAACTGCCAGCTGGTGGAGGACAAGCGGAAGCAGATGTGGCCCCAATCCGCAGACCTTGGGAGCAAGCTTTTCGGAAGTCTGGATGATCTAAGGAGGACCACTAATTTTATATTTTTACTTCTCGACATAGCCATCTAGAGAGAAGACGAATAAGAAGAAGCAGTATTAATCACCATATTGATCCATCACATTTGTTAGTTTGTTTTTTTTGTTATTTGTGGTGGTGTTTGAGAAATGTGTAAAGCCGCCTTTAATGCTACGAGCTTTTTAATTTTTGTTGAAGTTCTGCTTTTATTCATCTCACTTACGTTAATTTATTAATTGAATCATTTAATGATTATTTATCATGCCTTCATTATATTCTATTTCTCTTCCAACTTTGCTCACAGTCACATTTAAAAAACAAAATAGTGCTCAAAGTATTTTTATTTGAATGTTTCATAGATGCTTTGTCTCTCTCTTTAGCTTCTAAAATTTAACAAAATTTTAAGTTTATGTTGTTTCTGTTAAATTATAAATGCTGAAAAAAGGAAGACATTTGCCAACAAATTAAAATAAAAAGACTTTGAACACTGTTTTGTTTTTAAAATTATGATCTCAGTGCAAAGCTGAAGAAGAAATAGAACATCATTTAATAATTATAACTTACTGTTACAGATTAAAATATTTTTAACATTTTATTTAATTTTTTATGCTTATATATTTATGTGCTAATAACTAAATACTCAACTTATTCTGAGCATTATTCCTTATTTTTGTTGTTGTATCCTTAATATCTAGACAGCCTCTCGACATGTTTTCTTCATTTCCTTATCCTATTCAGTTTGTGGATGCCTCCTCTTCCTTACATCTCCTCATTGATAAAAATTCATGTTATGCTTAGTTCATGTTGTCCTTCCTGACCCATTCCAAGTCAATTTTCTTTCCTATGTCAAACTTTTTCCATGATTTAATACCGAAAATAGAAAAATTATTTTTTCACTGAAACGGCTTTTAGGTTGTGCGATCCATTTCGCACTGGTCTTGTGGGGCGCTCGATCCCGAATTTTGGGAAGGTAGCATCCATGAGGCTTACGTTGATGTTATTAGCAAAGCTGAACACTACATTTATATTGAAAATCAGTTCTTTATAACTGGAGGCCAGGTTAAGAATCAAGTTGGAGATGCTCTTGTCAGGCGAATAATTAGGGCTCATAGGTATGTTCTCATCTTCACTTTCAACTTCTTTAAAAATTTTATCTGTAATTTTGATTTATTAAAAATGATGATGCATGATGGATACAATTCAAGATTTTGTACAATTTTATTTATTTTTTTCTTTAACATCATTTAAGCCACGATTAGAAAGCAGAGATCTTGTGATATTTAGGCTGGGTCATTAAATTTGTTCACTGAGAATAGCGAGTATCTTCCTAGTCTTCTTTTATTGTTCTCTATTCTTTTTTTTGCTGGATTTTTTAAAATTATATCTCTCTCATCTTGAAGAACACTGCAATATTTTTTAAATCGTTCATTACAATGCCTCAAAATAGGTTAGGCTAGAAACCTCAGTCTTAGGACTATCTCTTCAGTGTGAGGAGTTGATGATACTGTTCCGTTTTGAACATGTAGTTTTTTTCTTCAATACTAGGATTATAATTTAATCAACAAACTCAAATTCTTAAAACCCTTTATCACATGTAAAATTACTGATAAATGGTAATGGTTATTCCTATTTTCACTGTTCTTGAGAAAAATTGTCTTCATATTAGTCTTGTTATGTTAATCTTACTTTTGTTTTGGTTTCTCTAATTGTTTACATTTTATTTTATGATTTTTAATTGTCACCACATACTTTTTCATTTATCCATGAAGCTGTTCATTTTTTTGTAACTTGACTTTGTTTAGAATGATTTAATATTCGATGAGTTTTATTATAGTGAATTATGATTAATTTATTTATAGATAAAATAAATTGGTCATCCAGACCAGAGTTGCTAATGGTGTTTGAATAGGTTTGACTATGGCAAGTCACAAATTGTTTTATTAATATTCTCTTTGGAAGCTGCATACTCACTGCTTCATATCATAGTACTATTACTGCCTTCTTATAACACTCATTCTCATATCTAATTCATATTTTATTTTTAATTTGCTATAAAATGTTACTGCTATCATGCCTTGCTAATTTCTGTTCTTGCCAATTGCATCAATATAACTGAAACTATTTCAGAATTTGTTTAATATATTTTCTAATTTTAATTTGTTTCCAAAGGTCATGGTATAATGCAACACTTAGTGGAAATCTAACTATCTGGTATTATTTTAAAAAATATGATTACTATATATTTATTTAGCCTTATTATATAGTTTATGAAGCCTTGCTTGTATAATATTTAAATTTTAGTTTCTGTCTTTTATTTTAGAGAAGGTACTCAATTCAGAGTTTATGTTATTCTTCCTCTTTTACCTGGATTTGAGGGAGAAGTTGGAAGTCCTAGTGGTACTGCACTCCACGCTATTACACATTGGAATTATGCATCTATTTGCCGGTAAACTGAATGCTTTATTAATTTTCGAGTAAGAAGATGGCGTTCATAAAAGGACTAAAATAGTAGCAAACTATTTTATTTAAAGCCAACGTTTCGTCCCGACTTTGCCAGTCTTCTTCAGGGCTAGAACGAACAAAATACAAAAGGCTATAGAACAATGTGGCAGTTACATAATGTTTAGATAAAAAATATAAACAATGTGAATAAACTTATTAAAATTATATACAGTGTGAAAAGCAAGTACAAATAAATATTAAGAACAATAAACTATATAAACAGAGTAATACTAAGTAAGAAGACCCTAAACTGAAATAAATAAATAGTAACAATTATTGTAGATTATTGGAAATAGGGAAATAATTGAATGTAATAAGATGGATGGATAATATTCGTCATAATGGATATATTTCTCCAGGTCTCTAGGAGGGATTGAAAGAAAAATTAAAATAATAATAAGTAATAATGGACGAAAGAGAGTGTTAAATAAATGGGGGGAAAAAAAAATGTAGAATGAATAAAAATAGAGACTTGCGGTTGTATGCAGTAGGGAGTTTCAGTTGAAACTAAGGAAATGTGGGATTCATTTTAGCGCTGAAGACTACAAAGTCGGGACAAAAAGTTGGCTTTAAATAAAATAGTTTGTTACTATTTTAGTCTTTTTATAACCGCCACCCCAGACCATCTTCTTACTCAATAATACACCACGGTCAACCATCAAGTATTCAATTTAATAATTTTCATTTTAAGGCATCTTATTTTATCGAATTATTTGTTTAATTTTACATTATTATTATTATATTTGTTATAAAATTTACAAAGAAAATAATTTTGCAGTGGCAAGTCTTCATTATTGAGTCGGTTGAAAAGTTCTGGTATTGCCGATCCTTCTGAATACATTACCTTTCATGGTCTCCGTAATCATGCAGAATTGAATGATAAACTGGTAAGGAAGAAATTTATTGTAAATGGATATTGCTTTATTTGCTTATTGTAATGTTGCATGATTTGGCAGTTTTTTTTATCTTTTGCCAAACCAATTTTTTTTTTTCCAACCAACTATGTATATAGAATATATCCTATTCCATTCTTTAAAACATACTTTACATTTTTTATTTTATATGTTTATTATTGGAGATCAAATTTTAATGATAAGACCTTAGTCATATTTAATATTATATAGGCTATGCTTGATAAATATTTAGCAATATATTGTAAAAAAAAAAGAAGTTAATTTTAGCTTTAATCTTATTAATCTAAACCTGAACACTCTAATGATGTAAAAAAAAAAATTTAAATACAAATTAAATGTTTTCAAGTGAAATACATGTGTTTTTACATTTAATAAATTTGTATGTATGAGTACGCATTAAATTTTCATCTTTAATTGCAAGTAGTTTTTTGAACACCTCCTGTAATCAAAACTTATTGGTGATTGAGTACACCTTCTCCCCTGTAGCAAATAATTCGTTATACCAAAATTGGATAATATTCTAGAATTAGTTTGATAGGTGATAAATAATCAGGTCACATTCATTTTTATGGTGTTTATTGGTGCCAACGTTTCACCCCAGGCATGTGGTGGATCATCAGGGCGTGTTTTGAACACTGAATTTATTTATTTATTTATTTGGTAGTTCATACATAGTTAATACATTTTTCAAAATAACAAAACTCCAGGAAATTTCCAATTCAATTTGGTGCTACCTTCGCCATCGTAACGTTTTATCTTGGATATTGGAATCCAAGAATCATATATAAAAAAAAAAAAACATACTAACATTAAGTTATAATATACTGAGCATTGCATTTACATACAAAAAGCAGCTGAGTCGATAAAAGTATAAAAGAAAAATATACATACATTCATATACATACATAAAATACATAATATATATAAAGTAATTTTAAAAACTACGGAGGTAGCAATCCCTCCACAATATAACTCATAAGAAAGTAATATAATACATAAGTACATAAAAAAAAACAAATAAAAAAAAATTAATATAAAATTAAACAAATAAAAATGAAATAAATAAAATTAAAAAATAAAAATAAATAAAACAAAAGGTAAAAACATAAATTATGACATCGATATAATTATTGAGTATCATGCTATAAACGAGGAAGCAGCCTGAACCAATTACTGTAATTCATGTGGGAACCTTTAAGGATTCTTATTGTAATGGCGTTCATCGTTCCCTTGGGAATGCCCAACATATCCATGTCTTGGAAAGATCGTAGGAACCATATTCTTCTCCAAGTTAAGGTGAAGGTAAATTATTTACCTGCCTAAGTGCCAATATTTGAACACCTTCAGTGTTCGAAACATGCCCTAATGATGACCTACATGCTTGGGTTAATATGTCGGCACGAATAACAACCTTAATAATTACTGTGTCTTATCAATTTATCATCTATGATATTTAGAACAGTTGACGAACTTCCTTCAAGAATTAGTTTGAGTTTAAAAATTATTCTCCATAGAAAAAATGTTATTGTTGTTTTAATATGTTTGTTAGTTTCTTTATTTGGTTGCGTAGGTGACTGAACTGATATATGTACATTCCAAGCTGCTGATTGCCGACGACAAAATAATGATTTGTGGCTCTGCCAATATTAATGATAGGTCTTTACTGGGCGTTCGGGATTCTGAACTAGCTGTTGTCATTACGGTAAGAAGAACTGTTACAATTTAATATTACTTATATTCACTTATTTTAATAGGTGTTAATCTTATTACAGGTTAGTAAATATGAAACCAGAATTTGTCGATTAATGTTAAAGTCATTAACATTAAATCGCATTATTGACAACCATTTTATTTCTGCGATAGGCAAAGATTTTCAACTTACAACAATACAAGTTTTATGTAACATAATTTTAAAAGTGTTTTGTGCCTGCAAACTACGATTTGTGGACAGCATCAGTTTTCTTTTTTAAAGAAAATTGCTGCAGAATTGTATCTAATGATTGTTCTAAGCTTATGGAGAACATGCTCTTGGTTAGTCACAATGGGTTGAAAAATTCAAAACTGGAGATTTTGGATGTAGGAAATGAAGAATGTGAAACATGAGTGTGATCTATTAAAACTATTAATACTGAATGCCATAAAAAACAAATGGTAGATTTGAATTGAGTATTGGATGAAAAACGACCAGAATATAAAAAACGACAACACAACATGATTTTGCTTCATGATAATTCACAATCACACAGTAAAACGAGTGAAGAGAACGATTGAGAAATTCAGTTTGGAAATATTAGCAAATGTGGCTTATTCACCAGACTTGGCTCCATCTCACTACTATTAATTTATATCGATGAGGTATACACTTGCTAAGCAGTGCTTCACTTCTAATGAAAATGACTTGGTTCACCACAAGAGAGTAATTTCAAACATAGCTTTTATAAATTGCCAGAATGATGGGAAAAAAAGTATAGTTAGTGATAGAAAATATTTTCTAACATTTTTGTGCAATAACCTGTGATTTCCTCTGTTAAAATTCTGGTTTCATATTTATACGCCTTGTTTATACATTCATTCTTGTTTGCTCATAGGATGAAGATTTCAAACCTGGAATTATGGCTGGGAAGGAATACATGAGCGGTCGATTTTGTGGCTCTCTTAGAAGATCACTTTTCCGAGAACACTTAGATCTTTCCGGTCCTAAAATCAAAGATCCTGTGTGTTCTGAGTTCTATCACGGTATTTGGAGGAAGACTGCGGAGAAAAACACAAAAATTTATGAGGAGGTTAAATATTACTAATATTTACTGCATTATCTGAAATTTATCTATTATGAACGTATTTGCATGTGTGCCTTGGATTTATTAACTTGATTACATTTAAAAAATAAAATAAATTACAGGTTTTTCGATGTTTGCCATCAGATGAAGTAAAATGTTTTGATGATATCAAAAGCCATTTCAGAGTTCCTCTAACAAATACCAATCTTAGCGCAGCAAAGGAACTTCTTCGAAAAATCCAAGTAATAAGAATAAATAAGTTATTACTCTTTTTATTGCATTGAATAGTTGAACTACATAGTCAAAAATTCATTTTAACTATTTCGTTATAAGAAATATTGTTACAATATATTGGGTATGTCTAAGAAGTAATTAAAGTTTTTTGATTACGTATAAGTGTGGATGAGGAATAACATATATAAAGATTAAAAATTGATTTTAATCGAATAGATTAGAATAGAGAAATCAACTTTCTTCTGAGACATATTCTTTTAAGAATAATAATCATGTACAAATAAAAAAACATTGATTCTGGCTATAAGAACTATTATAATAAATGGATAACTAAAAAATAAGTAATTAATATCTGTGGTACCTGTGAAATGTGTGTTAAGTGCAATTTTACGAATTTATATGGGTATAGAAAGCTAATTTTTCTCTCTTTCTTTGTGTCTAATGGACTAAGTTATGCTGCTATTACAGAAATGAACTTTGTGAATGACGGGTTGAAGCTAGAATATTGATCTTATACCTGTGAAAATTCCATACTTTCAATTGTGTTTTTTCATAAATATGATTTTAGCACTTAACGCACTATGCACAGGTGCCACAGATATATCTGTACACTTAGTTATCAAAGATATATTAAAAAACAAATGAGCAATAATGAAACAATATTTGATAATAAAAAAATAATGTTACAGATACTTTAGTAATTATTTTTTAATTTTTCCTAGTCTTAACTCATGTATTTATGAACAAATAAAAGTGCTCACTTTTGTAAAAAAAAAAGAAAGTTACAAATAAAAGTTTGTTTTTCTTATGATAAATAGAAAAAGATACAAATTTTTTTGTTAAATTGAAATGAAAGATTGAAGGTATCTTTTTTGTTTTATAATGGTTGAGATCTTTTTTTGTTTGATGTTGGATTCCTCTGTGATTATGAGCCTATATATTGACTAAATATTTTTATTAAATTATAAATTATTTTAATTTACAGGGCTACCTGGTCATGTTCCCTTTGGAATTCCTCAAAGATGAATCGCTTACTCCGAATCCAGGTCGAGTTGAAGTACTTCTTCCAACTTCCGTTTGGACATGATCATGGATTAACATAAAAATATGAATAGAAGGAGGTTCGAACTCAAATTAAGGAAAACAAAGTTATTATTATGTAATTTTTTTGAAGATTTCAAAACAAAAGTCTCTCTCCAGTCAAAGTTAATCACTAACCTGTTACATTTCAACTATAATTAAATCATTGAATGCAAACTTTATGAAATTATTTGTCAGTTAATTTGTTCCATGTAATGGTTAACATAAATTACCAATGCTGATTGAAATGCTAGAGAGTTATTCATTATTTATTCAATAGTGAAATTATTGTTCAATGGTTTAATTATTAAATTACTGAAATATTTAATATTTGAAGTTATTGAAAGGTTTAATGATTAACTTTGACTTAAGGTTTATTTAATATTTTTTTATAAAATTCCAGAGCATTTAACTTAGAAAAACTTTTTAGAAAATTATGTTTTATTTTAATGATGCTGTGTTCTTAATAATTAATGTGTCTTAATAATTAGATTAATCTAAGGACCTAGTGCAATAGGAAGCTTTTTTCCTTTAACGTATTCATCCTTTTTATAAAGACAGTTACTTTTTATTGTTATTATTGAAGTTTATAAATAAAAAATATCATATTTGTCTGAATATATGTCGTTCAACCTATATTCAGGATAATTTATGATTGGATTTGACCTTGAAAAATTTGACTTCATTTGAATGTGGCGTTTTAAGTCACTTTACAGTTTATTTTTTTGTTTTACTTTTGTTACAGTAGATTCAATACAGTTTATATTAATAATAAGTGATAACTTTAAAAAAAATAAATTATAAAAATAATTGCTCAAAATAGGGTCAGGGATGATGCGTATGTTAAAAACAAACAGTATGTTTTAACTGAAGAAAAACTGACATAAATGGTACTCAGAATTACGAATTCTTGCATTACTAGATAATTTTAAGCTGATCTAAAAGATAAGAATGAAATGATCAAATTTGTGTGTGGAATTATGAACAGGAAATGTTTAACCAATTTTAATCGGAACTAGGAAACCAATCAAAAATTATTTTTCATTCTAGAACTTTGTTTTTATATTGATTTAAACCATTCCACTTTTTTAAAAATTATTACAATAAAAATCATTGTCTCACATAAATGGACAATTTTACATTCCAAAAAGTAATCAGACAGTTTTTTTTTTTTTTTTTTTTTTTTGTTATTTAAAGGCTTCAACCAAATGGATCATTATTGCTTTATTTTCATTAAGAATTAAATTCTATTTTCCAATTTTATACATTTCAGAAACTAAAATATTTTGTCAACTTTATTTGTATTTTTCTGTAAAATGGTGAGTAGATCGTTTGGGAGGACACAAGATAGTCTAAGTGTTTCATAAGTCTGTTAAAATGTGTTTTATGGTCATTGGTTTCTCAAAAGTTTGGCAGATGGGCGAAGAATCACAGTCCATGAGTCTGGCATGTTTGATCTATACTTAAGTGTGAAAGGATTACTTCTCTCCGCTCATTACTATTTGGCGATGCCCAAGAGGACACATCACTTTCAATTTCCCTCAACTTATTTTCAGTAACTCTTGACCTTATCTGTTCCCATTTAGAGTTCATTTTCTGTAGGCAGCTTTTTAGAAGTTTGAAAAGGCAGTTCTACCATTTCAGCTTTTTATTCTACTCCTTATTTCACAGCTTCACCATAATACGTTTTAAAATATGACACTAATTAAATATGTATAACTCATTTCTGGTTATGAATATTATATTTTTAAATCAATTTTGTTAGTAGTTTATTTTTTGATCCCACATCTCCCCTCTGGAAATTGTTTTCTAAATAGGGTGTCAGATTATATTCAGGGTCGATCTATATTTGAGCAAATAAGGTACATTTGCTGAAGAAAAAACATATAGCAATGAATAAGATGAAGTTTATCATTGTCTATGAAATAATTATGTGATTCTGTTTTAGTTAAATTGTTTTAATTCTAGTGTTACCTCTTAGAATTAGCCATTTGTGACAGTTGTGTTTAGTATAAATTTTTTTGTATCATTTTTATGTCTTGCTGATAATTATTTTGTTGTTATATATTTTTAATTATATCAGTAGATCCACTCTATCTTATGATAAGTATTTCTCTTATAGTTCTACGGTTTGCTTAGATATAAATAATTTTACTTTTGTGTTACCACCTCGCATTGCTTTAAATTTTTAAAAAATAATTTTTTGTGACAGTATTATTGTCTGTGAATGGATTATTATTTAATAAAATACTGCTTTGACTTAAAATTAAATTTAGATAGTTTTATCTTAGTACTTAAATTTTGTTGTGATGTATTTTTTAACTGGTGAAATATTAATGATATAATTTTATTTTTTAATGAAAGCAGTGGTTCTTATCAATCACCTTTGTTGAGAACTTCTAATTCAAATTATTATTAAAGAAAAATCCTGATTTATAAACTATAGTGTTGTTAAGATTTATTTCTTGCTGAATGTTATAAAAATATTAAATTTGAAAAATGCCGTTTTAAGGCATGAGAGGAAATTTTAATTTTGATATTATTTTATGAATTATTTTATGTTAATTTTATTTATTGTTTATTGTAATTTTATTTCATTTTAGTGTAGTTACCTACTTCTTGTTAAAGTTAGTCGTTGAGAATAATATTTTATTGAAAGAAATATAGTTTGTTATAGCAAGCAGTTTTATTTTATCAATTAACATACCTCTGTATAATAACAATAAACTTATAATGACTAAGTGTGTCAGCAGTTTGGAAATACAACAAGTAAAAATACGAAATCCTTAAAAAATCTTCATAGTTTTCTTGAAAATCCTTATAATCCAAAATACTCCATAAAATCATTGATCCTCATCATGTCACAAATAAAATTATCCACAAAGACCTCAATATTCCCTTTGTTACAGATTTGGCTCGAATTAGATATAATTTTTTTAATCCAAACTCTTTTCTCACCCTAATCCTATAATTCATTACATTTCATCCAAATCAATTCCTGACAACCCTCCAAGGAATCTGAAAAGAAGATTGTAGAGATACCTCTTAAATTAATCTAAGAAATGATGTGCGATCAACAGTTAGTTTCTTCACAAGCTTGTATTATGTTTTATATTCTTATAGCAGATTTAATAGCATTTTATTTATACAGTTGTAAATTTCCTTTTAGACGATAAAGAGCATACAATAAAGTTATATCTCATAACTTTATGTTGCACACCTTCGTGTGACATATATTATTTATTTTTCCCTTATCTAATTAAATTCCCCTACCTTAGAAAGTTATGACTTATTTGAATTAAATGTAGTATTATCGATAAAAATTTAAGTATTATATTTAGTATTCTTTCCATATGGTTAAAACTATGTTTTCTTTTAATTTTGTTTAAGGAACTTGCATTAAGTAAGTATTTGTCAGTAGATAATGAAATTTAAAATGTATTATTCTCAAATATTCTTCACAACAGTACAAAAATAATAATTATGAGGGGTTGAACGTTTTGAAAATTTTAAGGTTCATAATTTAAATTAAAACTACGAAGACCTTGTAAAAAAAAAATTATAATACATATATAATCATAATAAAATAAAGAATCTAATTTCCTTTGTTTTTTCCATCTTTGCTCTGTGTAAGTGGTTCAGTTTCTTGTCACTAAACTCTCTCCTCAGATATTTAAGTGAATTGGGAAATCCATGGATATATACTCAGGTAAGCAATATTACGAGAAAAAAAATATATACATAAATAAATACAAGCAACTAATTTCTGAAAAAAAAATTAATTGGGACATGCTGGTTGTTAATAATTCATCATTCTGAAAGAAATTAATCACAAAATAAAGATTAGTACCCACACCCATACATTAAAAGCTCTCTTTTTATCACATTAGACCCCTTCAGGCTATGTTCTTAAGGAAATATGATAAAATTGTTTTGAATTGATAGATTTTGCTCTCCTTCCCAATAAATTGTTATAGTAACATTTCTAAAATCATATACCTATTTCACATAGGACACAGGGTTTGAGAGTATTTGTTGATTTGACTTTTAGCACTTTTTAAAACAAAAAATAAATCAAGAGAAGAAAAAAAAAAGCGGGAAGGAAAATTATATATGTTGTAGAATATTCTTGTGTGGAATTTAGTATAGTAGCTGATAAAGGATTTAGTTTAAAAACATAATATATTGTTTTCAAGTTTATTTATTATCAGCCAATTTTACACCAGTTTTTAAAACTATGTCAACTTAATGACTACACATCTAATTACGACGTTTCTGCTCGTTGAGCCATTTTCAAGTCTAAAAAATTTTTACAATTTATAATCATATTTAAATATTACATATTTCAAAATATCAAGATTCTTTTTATATACCTAAATACCCATCATGTACCTGTCCTTTTCACTTGTGTGAATTGCATGCGTCTACTCATAATAAAATATTGTATTTTGTCATGTCCACCTTTAATTATTTTATAACATTATTATTACTCAATTATTTCTTATTAAATGATTCAAATAAGTTAAAATTACCTTATCATGTGTCACCCAAATGTCATTCGTCTCATTTCTATTCAGTCACTGAATAAAAATAAAATAAACTTGAAAGTAATTATTATTCACCGAAGAAGAAGTGAGAAATATTGTAGATAATATATTGTGACTGTTTCCGTATTAGGCTTATATCACTCTCATAAACAAGTATGGACAAATAGAAAGCCCTCCCTCTCCACAGATCCACCAGCACAGGCCGATCTATAGGGAGAGGGAGAAAAGAGAATTTTCCGGGGCTGAATGGCAAAATATAATCATGTCTTATGAAAAAAATATTTAAAAAGTACCTCTAAAAGTATTGTTCGTGTAATTACATTTAATAGGACTTCAAGAATCACTTAAATACCATTTCATATTAGTAGTTAGTTTCTTTATTTTTCTTTCAAAGTAATTGTCGTTGTGTATATATAAATAAAAAAAAAGCTTTCAGGCTGAAGCCACACCCAGAATTAAA